GGATTGGAAGATATAGGAACTGCACACTAAAATTACGTCAGACATTAGGAAACGCTTTACTTATTGAAAAATTAAAATATATATTTTCTGTGTATATTGAGAGTTAACCTTGCCTGGTTTATACCTAATTCAGCTTATGTAATCTGCAAAGTTGCATACATGTGTTCTGCACGCCCAGGGTTCCTTTCTGTTGGTTTTTAACATTTGATTTGATTCGCCCCTTTAAAGGTTTTACTTTTTAGATTAAAATTTTTCCCTGGTTCAAATCTATTTTCAAACAGCCAAGAAAAAGAACATAACAATAAAGTCAAATTATCATATCTGTCCATTCAGAGACATTCAATTCATTATCTTCCGATTGAAGCTGCAAGAAGAAAATAGGAAAATAGTAACGGTTCAAAAAATGTTCAGTTCAAGCAAGTTTTAGTTTCACAAAGGACGCAAAACACCGGCTGATCCAAATTCAGTGTTGATTCTGTGTTGCTTGTTAATTGTGTTGATTGTATGTTTTAGCCAAAATTTCATGAAATATCCTTTACCCGTATCTCACCCTAACACAGCATACCACTAGTTTAAATGACACTAATGAAGAAAATACTGATTTCTTTTTTCTCTAGGAAAAACGTCTTATTTCCATTGAAGATCAAGCGACCAGGAGGCGCATTCGAGAAAAGAAAGGCTTTTGGTGCTGTTTGGAATTCGAGCATGACCAAACGAATAAATCCTTTGAGCTTCCGTGTGGAGATGGTTTTGACGAACTGTAATCTGCCTCTATAACCCAAGGTGGACCTCATTATCTCATTTCACCCATGGACCTAATGAGGTCCATGTTTCACCGCTGTACAGCTACATGTACCCGTGCTTTTCTGTTCTACAATTTTTACATCAGTTACGAACCTCTGGGTTATATTACTCAATAACGACTTGACAACATCCTTGATAAACTATAAGCAATCGCTACGTCTTTCAACTATACAACCGCATTGAAATATAATATGAAAGTAAAATATATATTGTGAAAAAATTTCCGTTCATTTGTGACATTTTTATGGTTCAATCCCCAGATTTTAAATTAATTTTTGGTCATGGAACTGTCATTAAATAAATATATAATTTATTCTATTCTTTTAAAAATTGCCATGTTAATCTCATACCCAGTATTTTATGTTCGTAATGTTACCGGACCACGTGATCAACAGTTTTAAAACGCAGAAGATATTTATATCGTCAAATTCTCCCGATTCTCCGATTTAAAATTTGTAACGTTTTACATATTTCTTATAACCTTAGAGTACATGTGATATCGTAAATTCAGGAACAATGTATTCCCATGGTTTAAAAGACAGATCCAACTTACCCAGGGTTCCAACTAGCCCCGGTCTCCCCTACAGCCGGAGTTGAAGTGAGCTAGGCGGCTACTAATCTTTTCAGTTGAATGCGGTATAAAGTACAGGATAAATGTTTTGTTATTATAGAACCTTGGTCTAGGAGAGAGAGTATTGGAAATGTCTGATGTACATGTGCTATGTTACACAACATCATAATCAGGCTCAGTGGCAATAAGACGCCTTTTCCCGAGCTGTCCGAGATCAATCCGCTACTTAGATTCATTACTGTTTTGTAGTCTTCAGATAAGAATACTGGTAAGACGGAACTTTTTTTATTCATAAAGATCAAACATATCAACAAAACACCGGGGGCATAGCACCGGTGGTTTTAATAAGAAAGAACCCTCGTCGGGATCATGTCGATACTCCCCCGCACCGAAACTCCCCCTAGTAGTATGCACATCGATAAAACCCACACCGATAGATCCCAGCATCGATTCGTCCCTGTAAAATTACCGTTATACGCACACCGTTACCCCCCTCCCCCAGCATCGTTGCTTCCCCGCGACAATTTATCGCTTAACTGTTTTTTTTTAATTTCTCAATAATTCAAGCGGTGCAGAAAACTATGGTGCGTTAATTATCTTCGGTTTAAACAAACTTTGAGTGAAATAAATAAATTAATAAATTTATAAATAAATAAATAAATAAGTAAATAAATTGATATAAAAATTTGCAATCTGTATAACGTAACCACTGTTGAAGAACATAGTGAAGTATACAGTCATTGCCAAAAATCACAAAGCTGAGCTGCACACAAATTAATTAAGTGATTTAGTATTTGTTTCCTTATTTTCCTTAAGAGCCCCAAGAGGGTGGTGCACTTTTGAAAAAATGACAAAATTTTTAATTAAGAGGCGTGGGGGAGGTGGGAGAGTGACGATGTGGGGTAGTAACGGCGCAGGGGGGGTGGAAGAGTGACGATGTGGGGTAGTAACGGCGTGGGGGAGTATCATTGCCTGTAAAAATAGTATGAAAGTTCGTTGGTCCGAAGGTTCGATAGTCCGAGTAAAGTCAATAATGCATTATTGGTAATATATTCTTGATAAAGTGGATAGTGTAATGGTAATTAAGTTAAGTTCATCAGAGGGGCGTTCATACAATTTTTAACGATGAACCTTTAGATTATCGAGACGCCCTCATCAGTGCGGCGATGTAAAGATGTACTACTACTGTAGGGNAGGGAAAATAGTCACTTTTATCAATGCGAGGATGCTCAATTCCTCGCCCTGTCCCGAGGGTCGGGGCCGGAGTTTCAATTGACTGGTTCAACTGATATGAAGAAAAAAGTGTTTAATAGGACAACTCCTTACTATGTCTATGGATATAATGCCAATCAGGAAATATAACATCACCGATAATACTTTACATCTACTTAGACCACAAAATGTTCAATTCTAATAAGATCAAATATTTTTTGTAACTAAGTTCTTTTGTACGTGTCAAACGGAGATTGATAATTAGGAAAGCACTTGATCTTTCGAGGATCTCATAAAGCTGCCTGGAGATAATATGGCATCTGTCAATCAGCTGTCACAAAACAACATGTGAGCAAATGTAATTTGGGTCAATCGGTAATCAATTCCCAATTTAATAGTCAATGCAGCTGTCTAACAATAAATTGGTTGGATTAGTCTAATACTCAAGTGCTTTAAAATGCTTTTAACATCTCTGATGTTGTGTTCACTGAGATTTGTTTTTATTAAGAACGAAGGGTGACAGAAAGGGGGGGGAGTGCACAGGAATTCCGTGGAATTAAGAAAAGGGTGATACTAATCAGTATATCAACAACACGAAGACAACAGGATCCACATCTACTATTAAGGGCAGATTTAGGCCGTCTTCTGGGTCTTCCAGAAGACGGTCAGGTTTTCAAGTTTACATTGACAGTTATCTTATTTTTTTTGTTGGAAGGCGGTCAAAATTGGAGGATGGATCAACAAAGATAATTTGGAAGACTGTCAGAAAATAGCTCTGGATCCGCCTCTGGGTCAGGGGTCGGCCTGAGGTAACTTTCACTCAACAAACAACACGAAGGCACGAAGGACAATTTTTCTTTATACATAAAATACAGAAGATTTAAAGTTTTTTTAAAAATCTTATTGATAGAGAGAAAACATACAAGTAAGTGTTCAGAAAAATAGATTATATGTTGAACTGCTTAATTTTCACAATATTACCCGACCTTATTTGATAATTGGTTACAATGATACGTAGCCTAAAGATGGCTCTAAACTGCAGTCACTGAACGGAAGCAGGCGCGGTTACCAGGCTATGCAAGAAATGTTACATTAATAATTGAAAGGTTTTGAAGAGAAGCACTCCATTTGACGTACCTGTGGGTATTTGATATAAGGCATCGAAGTTAAAGCTTTGTAAGTTTATTCAGCTTTCAATGAAATTGTATACTTGGTTGCCCAGCATATGCACATGAAACCATCTCTGATATACATTGTACGTAAGTTGCTACTATCAGCTTTCCGTAATTAACGAATTTAGGTGTAACATGGAGACTACAATTGCATATTACACAGAAAAAACATAGAGACTGTGGCACAATTGTTTATTAAACAAAAACCGCCTAGTTTATTTGATATTGAAAAAAAAAAAAAAACTGTGGCAACTCGTCGAGTGAAGCCCCCTTCACACTGGACGGCGTCCTTTCTGCGTCCCGTAGTACGGCCCTGTTTGGAAAAATAATACGATGCGTGCCGACAGCTGGCCGATCATTGGGCATTTATTCTCCAACCAAAGAGGTGCTTGTGCCTCCTTTCTACGACCACAGCGCTGCCAGTTTAACGGTCGCACGAAGGACGCCGTCCAGTGTAAAGGGGGTTGAACAGACTGTAGTCACTATTATGTCCCCCTCCCCTGAGCCCACTTTTTTCCCAAACACACCAGCCTTTAAGCCAAATGTATACTAGTACTCGATACTTACATGAGTCATCAATATATCTGATGACGCCGCAGACCTAGACCTAGTCAGCTGAGGTACCCTTTTATTTACCCCCCCCCCCTGTTGCTGATTTGCTTATCTTTTTTGTTTATAACATCATTGTTATGCTTTGTTTTGTAAAATGGCTAGGCCCACTCAAAATTTGCTTTCAAAAATGATCTTGCTCAAAGGGCGAGACAAATCTTGTAAAACTACACAGCAGTAGGGCTACCAATATATTGTCCCTTTACCACTTTACTCAGAGGAGAAAAAGTTCGACTCATCATCCAAGATACTGAGATAACCGTAAGTTTTGCAAATTAGCACAAATATATGAGAGTTGCTTGTTACTTGTTTTTTGCCTATATCTTAGGCCTACTCGTTTTACATTTTATCACGTACAATTCATGACGACTGCATCGTCAAAAATATCAAAAATGTTAAAAATGTTAACTTTAAATTAGGAAAAGTAAAGTAAAAAAGAAAATAGTATACATATCTGGCATTATTCTTCCCACTTCTTTTATTTATTCATTTATTTTTTATCCCCGTCACTACCGGCCAAGCGCCTGTAAACATTTATCGCCCAAACCCTCCTGCCAGCCAATTTGCAGCCACCTAGCGGCGATCTTTGAAACAATATTTCTCGCGTATTCTCGCCAGTGTGCGAGAGTTCGCCATCTTTAACAACCTATAAACAAATAGATGTAGCGGGTGAATGAAAATTTGTCATATATTCCAGAATGAAGGGCCATATATGTATTTCAGTCAAAGACGTATTTTAATAGAAGAGGTTGGAATGAATCAGCACTGAAGATTAGGTAGGAAATAATGCAACAAAAAGCGGATGCTAATAGAAATCACGTCTCTCTCTCTCTCTCTCTCTCTCTCTCTCACACAAACACACACACTAGCTCTCTCTCTCTGAAGGCTAAAGTACTATGAAGAAAAGATGTCATTCAATTTTCTGCGCGTTTCTTTCAGAGACGCACCCTGACTGACTATTATTTAAAAGCAATTAAACAGTGAATAAGACCAATAAAATCACAACGCTTGACTCTTTGTTATTGATTTTATCATAATAAAGCAATGAAGCAGAGAATGCATGCAAATACAGTATATTTAAACTGTTACAAAATTTGTTTATTTCAAGTCAAATGGTACGATTCCAGTACTATAGTCTAAGCTCACTGAGCAACTTCTTAATTCAAGCTACACTGTACATTTACTGTATGATACTGTAGTGTATGATCTATGTACATGTATGAGCCTGAACCATTTGAAATTACTAGTAAAATGAGAAGAAAAAGGAGCTGTCACTTTGCTTTGAATGAATATTTTTTGTCATTTTAAATATTTTAGGGTGGTTAACAAGAGAGTGTCCATGTGAAGAAAAATACTAGTAGCTTGGTTATGTCTGATATTCCTCTACTGAAGGCAATCAATGCAGCCCTAGCAGAAGCAAGAGCTAAATACAGCAATGATGAAAAAGAAGAAAAGAAAGAAATACATGAAAATACAAGTAATGTAAACATTTATAATCATTACGACAACAGGGACATCAACCAGAATGAGAAACTGCCTCCCAGCAGTACAGAATTAAACACTGGCTTTCCTAGGCATGATAAACCAGATGCAGAAATCAACCTGCTTAATGCAGAAATCAGCAAAAACAAAGAAGAATTATCCCACCTGGATGTGGAAATAAACCAACAGAAACATGTCATAGAAGTGATAAATGCAGAGATAAGCCAGCTCCATATTGATATAGATGGAGGGAGAGAAGAGGAAGAAAAAGAAAATGACCATGAGATCAAGGATGACCCTGTTTTTAGACACATACAAGAGACTGTGAAGAGGAATAAAGAAAAGCGTGATTCAGTGGTCTCAATGGCATCTAGCACATCTTCAGTGGGCAGTGAGGGAGGCCATGCTGTGAAGACTTCAGCCAACTTTACCACCGTCCCCTATGGCTTTATTCCTAAGGCAGCTTACGAACATAATAAGAAGAATACTGACATTATGGGGGGTGAGTAATTTGCTATATTTCATTAATTAAATTCATTTGTCTTGTTAAGCCACTAGTACAGTTTCTTAACTTGAATGTTTTTTTAATTAGCCATTGATGTTTATAATTGTTTCATTTTTCATTTAGTCACCTACAATGGCAAAATGAAGCAGTTTGTGATAGTTGATGCCAAAGGAATAACAACATGGAGTCCTGAAGCTATCAATGTGTCAGGTATTTGAATTCCAATGAAAATCCTCAATTAAATCTGCTGTAATGTCTTTGCCATAGAATATATCAAGATAATTTTTGAATTTTGGGTTAATGTACATCTGTGCTCATATTAAAAAAAAAATCAAATATTATATGCAAAATTGCATGCAAAATTGCATTTCAGTTAGCAGAGCCCACAATTACCCCAAGTATGAATACAGGCTAGTAACCCACCTTGTTTATGCCAAGAAACATAATGTCTACTTTGCTCTTTGGAAGGATTTTTCACTCAAGGTAAAGGTTCACTGAGATAGCATCACTAGTGGAACAAGAATATTTATAGCACTAGTACTGATCTGTTCATGAGAGTGCTTTGGTCAACTTTTTGCCAAATATGGTTTATTTTTACTGATGTTGATACAAAAGTTAGGGGAATAAACTCAACATCTCTAGGATCAGAAGTGTATGTGCATAGATAACAAAAAAAAAAACAAAAAACAAATACTAGTAAATAAATAAATGAATAATAGAAATAAAAATGAAAATTTATTTAATAAAAGTACTCAGTAGCACAAGGACCTGGAAGCTATGGTAAAATATACTGTATCTAACATATATTTATTATCATATTGCAAAAACAAAGGAATGATATAATGATGATCAGTTTATTTAAAATTAATTCTCTTCAACTTGTGCATGGTGCTCCAGGCAAACTTCTCAGTTTGATGTCTTGTTTTGTTGATGCTTTACAGTATTACAATCTCAAACAGACACAGTTTTATAATTATATTTTATTACACAAATACAATGTTTCATGTGGAGATCGTGAAAGACAATATGCACTAATAAACATGACAATTAATTTAGATATCAAGATATCCAGTGCGACACAGCTCCAAACATGTGTTGAGTTCGGAAGCACATTCTCCGGGGACACAAATCATCTCTGGGATTTCACAACGGTCCAAACATTCTTGGTAGATAATGTTGTTATAGCAGTGAAAAAAGCAAACTTTGGGATGAGTCTGAATAAAAAATGAAAATAAATTTTAATTAACACATTTTCACAAATTTAATAGGAAAATTAAAAGAATGTATAGGAAGAAATGGTTTAGCATATGTATCAAAAAATTATTTTCTAGAAAGATTTGAACCAAAATGACTGAAATCAGTTTGAAAACCAGCTCTCAAAAGTTGAATCATGCATATTTACATTGGGAAAGAGTTTGCTGTTTGCTATGATGACCAGATATATATATTTTTTTGATAATGTTCCTCTTTATATGATTTCATGAAAAATGTGGTATGACAGATTCTTGGCATCATATACATTGGTGTCTGGGGGCCTTTGGGAAAAAAGGCACAATGTTGATTTTGCACAGCCGTTTTTCTTCTTTTCTCTAATTAATGGACGTTTCAGAGGAAAATTAAATATAAGGATGCATTTCCCCTTATAGTATCTGAGAACTTAATGGCCATATGAAAAACTTGCTGGCATGCATTTTGGTCCCTGATTCACAAACATATATGAAAATTGATATCATTTATTTTCAGTGAATCATTTTCTTTGAAATTTCCTATAATACCATAACATTATCAAACATACTTTTAATTGTTGAAATATATCTAAGAATTATTTAATGTTGGAAATCTGTGAAAATATAAGCATTGCACTGACCCCAGAATGTCTCATGGACTGGCAGTATACAAAACATGCCAGCAAAACCATGAATGTACATGTAACTCTTGTGGTTGCCATCTTCAAATTGTTCTTTGCGATCTTTCATGAACTGGGACAGAAAAAATATATGTCATGAAACTTGTTCAGGATCTACAAATATTGTCACAAAGTAAGATTTGCTGTGAAAAATTTGCAAGATATTTGAATTTAGTTTTTTTTCACTCTATTATCACATGATATACATATATATATAAAAGTGAACAACACAATTGTAACTAACTGTTACAGATCATATAGGAAAATACCTATCATAAGTACAGAGACTGTTGAATGAAAAACAAAGAAGCATGTAATTTAAAATAAATGCCTTGTTAGAAAATTGACACACGAATACACATGTAGATATTTAATGAAATTGAAAAAAATAATGTTAACATATATAAAACACAAAGAATAGGGGCACTTACCTTTCTGATCTGGTTCCTGTTTTCATGCAGCAGAGTGAATCAGTTTTGCCTAATGTAGCTGGCCTTTATACTCTTGTGATTCTTGCCAAACCCTCACATCAAACTGGAGCGTGGATAATGAGATATTTATTAACTGATCAGAGGAAATGATATCTATGTTTTAGTAATAATAATGATAATTTAGTGAGCTCTGAATGACGTACTGCCACATTTGTCAGCTCTCTACACTACATGGTTTCATCCAGAAAAAGGCATTAATACAAGAAGTAAAACGTAAATAAAGATGGTTACCGGTTTACTTCATTTCCTGGGAAAAAATGAAAATCAAAGAGCATGTTTTACTCCTATGAGGTCATCATCTGTTTAGAATCATGGGGATGGAAGAAATAAAAAAAAAAAAAAAAACAAATGCATTAATTTAAAGTTACCGCTAACTTTTAGGTATTATGGTTTTTCATTCATCTGTATGTTAGCAGCAATAGCTTGAAATCTTTATCATGACAATTTTTTATATATTTGGAGCCAGATATCTCCAGATGCTTTTTTATTATTTCTTTTTTCATTTTTTATGTTTGGGAAATGGGGTGGATTGATTTTTTTTCATTTTGGTATAAAAAAAGACCAAAGCATAGAATCTTATCACAAAAGGAATTGCTTAGTAAAATAAAAATGGGTGGCCACCATGCAGGTAGCTATGTTTTTGTCTCACAGTTTACCTGATGACTGACAATTTACCATTAAATTATACAAGAAATTCACTTCAAGACACATAAAAGGCTGTTACAGTAGTGGTTGTTGATTTCTTGTTTCGTTGTGCATGATGAAAGCCAGTTCAGCTGTACTATTATTAGATTAGTTTACCAGATAAAATCCGGCTCTATTATTACTAAATTCTCCATATTGAAAGAAGGGGGGGGGGCTTGTAATTACTGTTACAATCTTTATACTCTTTAAATTGATTGAAGAGAAAATTACACATGTAAATGAAAATAATAAGTGTAATATATTAATATTCATTTTCTTGATTCTTTGATTACCTGTTATGATGATATTTCAAGTCAAATGGTTGTATGCATGATGAGTCATTTAGTTTAATTTACCAGTAAACCAGATATGGAATGACCTTTAAAACCTGTATATATGCATTATTTAAAAATGTTTTCCTTTCAATGATATAGGTGCTGAATAAAGACTTTGAGGCTGCCTGCTCTGTGAGTGCCAGTCTGAGGTCTGTGCTGTTCATGCTCTTCAACCCAGTTAGAGATGAACTCANTTATATTTAGTTATGACTTTAAATATTTAGTGTTCAAGGTTTAAATAGTGTTAAAAATGTATTAACTGAAAGTTTTACTTCAGGTATGGAAGTTTCATCAAGTAGTTCAAAAGAGTTTTACAGAGTTGAAAGCAATGGCCAACTATAGACTTTCACCAAAGTGAGTACAATATGTTATGATTAGTAAATTCTTACCCTTAGCAAAATCATGAATTTTGAAATCTGTCACATGCATGAGCAGCGTTCTTCAAAGATAGATACATGTCCTGGACGTGCGGGAAAAATTTACCCATGTCTTATAGTATAATATGCATTATATCCTTTGATATCATGAGGGCCTCTTAAATAGTATACTAAGGATAGTCCCCTGTGGGATCTCTTGGGATCTCAATTCATATGTTAACCGTTATTTAACTACTTGCCTCTACCTGCCCCTAAATTGTTTGGCTCAGCAGCAGAGGAGGATAATGTAAAATGTGCTTCGATCATGTTCTACCAGTACCCAGTACAAAGTCTAATTAGCTGTCTTTGTTATTTCTCAGGTATGAACTTCCCAATGTGGGTGGGAGCTGGGTAAAGAGAGTAGAGTTGGACCAGCACCTCCAGCACCTGTATTGTTGCTCAGACACAGATCTCCATGCTTATGACCTGCAGGGAAACCTGCTGTTCCAGTTCAACAAGTAAGAGGAGAGCCACTACATGGTGTGGCTTGTCTTAGTAAAAATACCACCAGGTGGAAGCACTAATGAAGTACATGTAGTAAGCACAGGCTTCAAACAACTGCGCATGTGCGAAAAGTGCGCTGTTTGAAATAAACAAGTTGGTGAAATTGACAAAGACCGTCTGGTTGATTTTGTTTCATTAGCTCTCTGGTGTCTTTTTGAAAATTTATATTAGAAATGTTCTATTGATTTTATGTTGTAAAAAGTAAATCCGTCGGAATTCCTTAGAAAAACATTTATTTTACCTTCATTTTAAGGGGATTCCCATTGTATTTATAGTGTTATATGTGGCCCCAATGGGGATTATCACACCTCCCCTACTCTTGATTAATAAAATTCTTCACCTGGAGGATTGTAAATTACATTGCAAAATACATTGAAAATCGTAGGAAGGTTAACTGCAGATAATGCTGCGAGGATATTCTTAACAGTGGGGGAACTCGGCCAATATAAAATTTTTAACTTCGTTTTACGATTTTGGAGCGCCTGTTCTAATTTTTGAAAGCGAGGCAATGGAACCAAACAATGCGATACAATTTGTAATCTCGTAAAAATTGCTATTTTTATATAAAGGTTATAGCATGGAGTACATCGAAATGCGACTTGTTTATTATTATGATCTTAAATAATAATTAATATAAAACAAACGATATAATACGTTCTTAACGTTAGCCTATTTATTAGCTTAATTGATTTTTTTTCGTATTTGGAGATTAAAAACACAAAAGTTGTCTGGTTTCATATCGAGGCACTGCGTTTCGTTCGTGTGCTCATGTAGTATACTTCTGAAGACAGTTAAGTGATGTGAATCAAAGGAATGTGGAGATGTCATATTTATTAGATATGATGGTGTATGAGTTGAAAAAGTTGTTAAAAAATAATAATGATTTTTATTAATTTTCTATGGGACACACATGTACTACACGAAAGCAATGAAAAGGGTTTTTAACTTCTTGTCTGTTGTTTTCTCCATGTAGTGCTCATTCCATGTCCATAACAGGGTGTGCATTTTCCCTGCACTCTCGGCTGCTCATCACTTGCTCAATGGATACAGAGGGTAAGAAAGGAGCCCAATCAAATCAGATCAGATATATTTATAGCTCATACAGTATATTCATTATTCACCTAGATCTGAACTATTAAAAAAGTGTGAAGTATGCATGTACTATGAAACAATATGACTAACATTTAGTGACTCTTTTTATGTCTTTAGTCAAAGATTAAATGTAATCAGTTGTAACATTTTCCTCCTCAGTGAAAGTATGGAGCATTACTGGTGGCCTGGTGCACACATTCAGAGGTCACTCCAAAGCGGTCACCAACCTGGTGCTCCACCCAGAGACGTCCTCCATTGTCATTACGTCCTCACTGGACGGCAGTGTCCGGCAGTGGTCACTGGACACCATGGACATGTTGTACAGGTATCAGAACATGTTTTAACTGAGGAACACATGAAGTACAAAATCTTTGAAAAATATTGTCAGACTCTGATTTATTTAAGACCAAAACACCTTACCCTTCTGAATAATTGTCCAGCCTGAACATTTCATTTAAATTTGGTTAATAAAATACCGACACTGTGGAAAAAAAACTAGGTCAGAACTTATAAATAAGAAACTATCAATTTAGTTTTTTCCTGTAATACCTGTTGAGGGGCATTTAATTGTGTGTTTTGACTGGTCACCTGTCCCATATTATTGGTTGTTAAACACTAAGGTGTCTGTTTTCCTAGAATTTTAGTGTAATCTCATCTGAGCCTGACAGAAGGCAAACACACTGGCTGTACGAACTTGTGGAGGAATATATGTTCTACATATATGTGGCATACACTTGTCATACTTTGGGGGTACAATACGAGCATGTACATGAATCAACCATTTGCCTACAGAAAATAGAATTCAGAAAATATTTTCATTATCTATTCCAGTGTCGTGATCTCCTCAGATGGAGTGCTGTGGATGGGTGTTACGGAGGATAAAAGCCTGTATGCCAGCACAGTAAGGAACATCACAGTGTGGAATCTCAACTATGTGTGTCAGTTCTGGGGTCTGACCAGAAGTAAGCTGATGTCTCTGCAGCTTTACCCCAGTGAGAAGAAATCTGCAAGGGTGGTCGCTGAAGGAGACGACAGCAGGTACAAGAGATAGATTTTTTGAAAATGAATGAATAAAAATAATTACCCTACCCAAAGCCACTGAGAAAATAATGATCAGTTTTCGTGTTGTAAATTTCGAATTATTGAGAATGAAATTCTTTAGACTCCTTCTCTATCTAGAGTGTCTCAAAACCTAGAGGCTTACAACTCAATAACAGTTTTATGATATGATTTTATATTTTTATGATAATTCTGTTAACAGTTTTGGGTATGATAAATTAAAAGTGTTGAACTTTCCAGGCAAAATACATTTAATTTTGATGTGTAAAAGTCTTATGCTGATTTTGAGCATATAAGCACTTGTGATCAGCTTACTTGTTACTACTTGCTTGATGTAAACACTATCTCTGTTATTCTTTTTAGCATCCGTATCTTCAACCGAGCCAGTAGAAAGAATCTGTCCATAGTGTTGCCACCGCCACCAATCTCTCCTCTACAACATATCAAACACATGACCTATTGTAGGGAGATTAATGTCATGTATGTCCTCATCAATGCAAAGGAACTGTGGCTGTATACAACAAGGTAGGGATAATGTGTTAGACATGATTCACAATATTAGACAGATATGTAGTGCACAGTCCTGAAGGGACTACGATTAATACGTAGTGCCCAGTCGCATCATCTAAGGGAATTATTTAAAAAAAATGTCTGTATAGTAAACTGACCAATGAAAGGGTTAGAATTCACTTTGACTAGGTCAAGGAATATTGTGCACAGTCACATAACATGTTGTGCTAAACATATTAACGTTATTCGAAATAATTCATGGAAACTGACCAGAAGCCTTCATTTCTACAAGAGATATAATAAAGCAATATATGTTTACACAATGAAGGAATTGCATTTACTACAGACAGAGAAAATCAGCTGGCAAAACATGCAGGAAACATTTATGGAAAAAAATGTAGTCTACGGATAATTTTTTAGTATGTACATTTGTACTTCTGATGATACACCAGTACTGTGTTACTAGACTGGAAATAACATGGCTCAGAGCTTTTCAAAATTTCTTTGTTCTGATTGATGGCATGAAAGAATTAGGTGATGTAGCAATCATTGTCAACAATTTCATTTCTGATCAGATGGTCAGATATTAGACAACAATTTAGTTCAGCTGTTAAAGCCAGGATATTGAAGTTCTGCGTGTGCCCATGACATGCTTCATGTTGTTCGTGGTCTGTACCTGACTGGAAGTGTTTATGTTTTCTTTCTTTTTCTCAGAACTGACCCTGCCTGCAGGATGGCTGTGTGGGATGTCCATGACATACAGGAGTCTCTGCTGTTGGGAAATGAACCTGAGGAGGAGGGGGATGAAGAGGAAGAGGCAGAAAAGGAGAAGACAAAAGGAGAGAAGAAGAAAAAAGGAAAGGGAGGAAAAGAAGAGAAGGAGGAAGTTGAAAAGAAAGCTCAAGAGGCTGCTACTGCAAAGAAGTAAGGGGGGATTGATTTCACTAAACAAAAGAGGATTTTAAATAATTCTTATTTTCCTGTTTTGAAAAATATAGGTATATAATTGAGTGAATACAGTGTAAACTTCATCAAATTTCCTTTAAATGGCTAAGCACTCTAATATATTCAATGTATTTATCATTATAGAATTAAATAAATACACCAACATGAATATATTGTATTCATACAAATGCATGTCCTACAACTGAAATAGCTAAATGACCAACAACTAGCATTTTTTCACTCCAATATTTCAGATTGCGTAAAAATCTCACCAAGAATGTCCCCAACCACCGCGCCACAGAGCATGGCGTGGGGACAGAAACCATCACAGATGTGAACTGTGTCTGTGCCCTTGACTCCATAGCCATCATGTGGTCCGAGGATGGGATGGTCTGTCCTCTCACACAGCAGTATCTACTGATGGGACTGGAGGTGAGGCACATATGGCAGCTCTGTCTTTTAATCTAAAATGAGTTAATGTAATTTAAACATAGATGTGTAGCTGAAAATGTGGTATATGAATCTAATGGTAATGCATTCTTTGTCAACTGGTGTTGAGACACACTGGTGTCCAGCTTCCGGGATAATTTAGAAAAGATGATTTTTTTTGATCTGTCAATACAAGTATGGGGGTTGAGAACTCAACACATAGCAATGTACCAATAAGGTAAACCACATGTAGCAACTTCTTCTTGTGAGCATGTGAATAGAATTTATATATTTGAGAATTAAATAGGATACTATGTTTGTTATATAGGTTGATGACAAAATAGTCTGTTTGCTTTTGTATATAGTGCTGGTATTTTGATACATGTAGTTGTTCTGGGACCTACTCTCCATAAATAACATTGTAAAATATGTATACTATTAATGTCAGCATTTTTGAAATATTAACACTGATATAAGATGTAGCATGATGAGTGAACCATAGTAACATAAGTTTCACAATATTTTATGTTTATCATTGTATCAGGATGGAAGAATTCTCTTCATGGATCCCATGGTGAAAGCCAAGAAATATTTCCAGTTTAGGGCAAATAAAGATCCAGTAAGTACATGTTGGATGGATAATTTTCTAAAACAGGGAAAACATATTCTTTAATCATAAAAAGCGGTGTGCAAGGGGCCTTTTGAACTAATGTAGTACAGAACAAAATTTTAAAAATCCACTCAGTTACTATACATACTTATCACACCTTGCCTGAAAGCATCTCATTTTGCAAAGTATTCTGTTAGCAGGATATAATGAGATTTCTGTCTTTAGTAAGTTTCTGTTACAGACCCTTTAGACCCTTGTCTACATATCTGTCTGTCTGTCTGTCTGTCTGTCTGTCTGTCCATTCAGCAGTCTCAATATATACTACTATTGCTACAGTTATTATTATTATTATTATTATTATTATTATTATTATTATTATTATTATTATTATTATTATTATTTCAGATTGTAGATATCAAGCAGAACCTTGCTCACAACACCTTCCTGACCCGGTGCTCCCAGAAAGGTGCTGATACAATCCAGATCTGGTCCCTGCCAGACCTGGTGCTACAGTATGAGGTCTTCTGTGCCCCTCAAATTACAACATATGCCAGACTGGTAAGTGGGGGTGGGGGTGGGGTAGGTGGGGTGTTGGGTTGAGGGTGGGGGTATTCTCATATCACTGCATATGTCAGACTGTCTTGTGGGGGGGGGGGGGGGTTATCGGATTGGGTTAAATATATGCAGCCTTCTGCACTCTTCTTATTACTATGCTGATTGTTTTAGGCGTATTGTATGTGCATGTGTGTGTGTGTACAGACATGTAGATGCAAATCATTTAAACATTCAGTAAACATTTTTACACTCAAGTTGGTGCCATTATGTATGTGAATGACATTAAAAAATATTAAAAAATCTTTTTCTTGTTGTTAACAACCATAAAAGTTTACCATAGCAGTGTATAATTCATAAGATATTAACAAGCCAGTTGTATTCCAGACCCACACCCTGCTGTGTGGCTACAGTGATGGAGTGCTGGAGTTTAATGAGTTAGTGCCCATGGAGGACCCGGGACCCCTCCGAGCCAGTGGTAAGGACCTGTCTGTTCCATATGTGTAAAACCATATAGTTTTCAGTTGTGAATGATATTATTTTTTAACCAGAATTTAAATATTAGATGTATGCCATGTTTTGCATATGACTGGTGATTGTGTGGATTGCAGTATTTCATTCTCTACTAACTTAATGTCTAGATAAATGTAATATTAATTTTAATGTGTATCTCTTAGGCTACCTTGCGAAGGGTACAAAAGGAGGTATTATATTGTGGCCTGCTGTGTTGATTATATTGAATTAGATGTGCTGTTGATTTAAATAGGATTCTGTTATATTCAGTGTGCATTTTAGCATATAAAGTGTTTAAGGTGTGACAGTTCAGCATGATGTGTCAGGTATGAGATTTGAGCATGATGTTATGTTAGGTGTGACAGTTCAACATGATGTGTCAGGTATGACAGTTGAGCATGATATTATGTTAGGTGTGACAGTTCAACAGGAATGTTTCTTTAGTGTGACAATTTAGCATGGTGGTGTGTTAAATATGGGAGATAAGCATAGCAGTTGTTTGGACAATGGCTTAGTATGACAACCCTTGAAGCATGCCAATATTGAGCTTGTTATTTAAATGCAGTGATCATTACCAGATTTACCATACATTTTCTATATAGAACACAAGATGAAATATATCAGTTATATTTGGGAATCTGCAGAAATATTTCTTCTGTAAAATGAAATAGTTATGAAATTTGATTTTCAGCTTCATTTATTTTCATATTTTCTGCTATGATTTACTTCTTTGCTTCTTGGCAGTTTTTATCTCATAAAAACCTTGAGTGTTTGAATATTTACAGTGTCTACATTTTATTATGTATTCTCATCCCTGATCACTGTCTTGGCTGTGGCTTGTTTCATGATAAGAAATCAAACCAAGACAATTGGTTTAAAAAAATCACTCAAGTTATCGTATTAATGAAAGCTCACTGATCATAAGTCAGTATATGCTGTTGTATAGATGATGACCATCAGTCTAGAAATAAGCATTTAATCTGGATAGAAAATATATATATTTCATATGTGACTGGATGAAGTAAATAAATGTAATTTGTAAGGTTTCAAATGTGATCTCTCCACTGCCACTTTTGATAGAAGTGAGAAATCCCCTCTTAATGATTTGGTTGAAGTATTAGTTTGAAACTTCTGTGTATTATTCCAGTGATTGCCAAGCCTGAGGACCTTGTGGCTGATATGACACACAAAAGATGTAACACAGAACACAAGGAGGCCATTGTGGCTATAGATGCTTGTACAGCTAAGTCTCTCTTCTGCAGCATAAGGTAAAATGATGATAATATTGGTAGATGTTGAAAAGATCATACTTTGATAAGATGCATAAACGATGTAACACTGTGAAAGGAAATTGCATTGGCTTTAAATTATTGTGCAGCTACAGGTTTGTCTTCTGTACAATGAAGTGAAATGAAAATTGTGATGACAACTATGATGTCACTTTGATATGCAAGCTGAGTGCTAACTAGTAACTTTGTGGAAAAAAGGATTTGTGGTAAAGATTCAGATTTTTGTAGCATAATATGTTAAAAGAGAAACAAAAAAGGGAACAGTATTTTCAGACTATCACATCCATATTGGGTTTGTGCCATAAAGATAATTGTAAATTTTTTCTTAAATATTTATGATATTGATGTTTTTTTCAAACTATATTTCAGCTCTGATGGAGCCATTAAACTGTGGGAAGAACTTGGGTATGCGTTGCTAATGGAGATCATGTTGAATGATACCTTATGTGGGGGGTGCTTTTTGAACAACAAGGGGGACCTGCTGCTGGGATTTCAGAACCATTTGTTCAGCATTGAGCTAAGCACAGGTAAAAAGTTGACCTATTAATACATTTCCCAAAAGTTTTCTTTGAACAAAACAAGGATATTAATTGGTGCCTGTGATATCAGATAAAGTTTTCAGCTGGAAAACTTGATTAAAAATACTTGTTTTATCAAAATGACATTTATCATTCATAATACAAAGAGTACATCAATTTACTACATTAAGTTTGGGGTGGAGAGTGGATCGAGATTGTGATTGATTTAATTTGTGACACAGATGGTTCTGTTTTAACTATATTATGGTGCAGATTATTGTGCAGTTATAGGTTTGTCACTCATGTCTTTTCTTCCTGTGTCCACAGTGTATCCTGGTTTAAGATCTGGGGAGGATGAGGATGAAGACAAGGATGATGCAGGTAATCATTTTGTTCATTTAAACTTTGAATATATTCACCAATAAATTGTTAATATGATATGCACTCTAGATACCTGCTCATTGTTTCCAGTCATATCAATATTTGGTTATCTTTGCAGGTCTTAGATCTGTATTTTGTATTTTATTCCATAACTGATTTACTTGATCACTGATCCTTAAGATAATTGATGTTCTTTTAGACTAGAAAGAAATAATTTTGGAACTATTTCCTTTAATTTAGAAAAAATATATTAGAATTTAGCAACAACATTATTAAGAGCTGCTTTTCCCCCATATCTTTGATTAAGATATGTGGCTTGTAGAAATTTATTGAAGCCATGCTAGTATGCCAATAAATAGTCTCTATTTTGTTGCAGACTCTGATATCTTTGAGGATCCATATGTGGTGTATGAAGGCATACCTAGCAATGAGGACCTGTTAACTATGGACAGATATCTGGTATGTTAACTCTTCTGCTTGTCACTCCTTCTCCCCCTCACTTCACCTTGCACCACAGGGTGGACAAAGCAGTTGTTGAAATGACTCTTGGCTACTCTCACTGTTCCTTAAACCTGTGACATCTTGCCCAGTTACAATTTCATCATCTTTCTTGTTTTTGTTTTTCTGCAGGTACCTTTCAAGATGAACTTCTCCAGGGATTTCTTGGAGGGCAATATGAAGCAATCAAATGCCAAACTGGAAGGGGGACCTGTGAGTAGATTTGAAACTGAACACTTTGTTTTGGCCTTTTGCAAATGAGTCTTTTTGCAACTTCTTAAATAGTACGGTTAAACCTTGGCATGATATTGTTGGAAATAACAGGTCTTTTCACATCGAATATTGTCTTCATTGTTCTGCACTGAGAGGTTTTACCATGTAATAATGCACAATTTTGCTTCCAACAATTTGACTTTTCTTTTCTTCCCATATTTTCTAGTTACTGAGTGACAGTGAGACAGATATTTCCATGGCTCCCACTGACACCTACCTGTCCCCCCACGACACCCCGCGGAACCTGTCTCTGCTGGACCTGACCCTGGCTGCAGATGTAAGCAAATATGACCTGCTGGAGAGAGATCTGACAGAAGCTGGGCTCCTCAGGGGTAGGTGTGGAATAGGTGTGGAAAAGCAGAGACAATGGTGTCATTTGCATTTGATGCAGTATAGAAGTAGTTTTTGATTTCCCTGAGGGATGTCAACTAAGTATTTAGGGATATTGTCTGCATTTTTTATTATCAATTTTTCTTCAGATTCCAGGTATCATTGTATATTCAAAACATTAGTTCCCATTATTTGAAGTATTGGAATGTTTGCAACCTTGTTTATTTGTTCAAAATGCTTTTTAATTCCAGAGGTCTGTGACATGTAAAAAGAGGGTGATCAACAATGTTTCATATTGTTTAATGTGTTTATACGTACACATGATATCTTAAACTGTGTATAGATTAGTTCCATTCCATTTTTCCTTTTGATGTAATTGTTATATCTTTACTGATTATAACAGGTTTATAGGTGAAATTCCATATTCATTCAATATTTAGTGAAATAGGTCTTTTATTACTTGCTATAATATTCTAGTTTTCATTCTTTCAAAGCTTGGGTGATACAAAAAGATTGTTTTTCACCATTAATTTTGATGAATTCTATGTTTTTGTTCAATCAGCCATTCAAGACAGCCAGAGTATAAAATCTAGAGTCATGACAAAGAAAGACAAACTTAGACTTAAGATGTTGGAGAAAAGAGCAAAAAGTTTAGAGAAACCATCACTGGGGCCAGACTCAGATGGAGAGGCCCTGGAAGAGGATACTGTGAAAACTATCAGAAAATCAAAGAAGAATGGTAGTTGTGGTTGTTGGTTTGAGTGCATTGTGCTGCATGTGTTATTGACTGCTGTGGCTGCACTTTGTGCATTTATTGCTATTGTACTGCACATTTAATACTTATACTATAGTGTCACACTATAAAACAGAAAAATATTTTTGTTTGATAAGTAGAAATATTGTTTTTCGGTAGGCCCAAATATCAGGTGGTGATTTTTTTTTACAAATTAACAAAAAATATGTATACAATTTTTATCTCCATGTGAAACATACTATAATGGATCTTGAATTCTCTTCACGTATATTGCCCAAAAGAAATGTGAATGCTTAATGTTGTCTTTTCACATTTGTTTACATAGATAACAAACAGTATATTATAGTTTGAAGCAAAATACTTGCATTTTTATCTTAGTAGAAATATGATATTTAAAATTCTAATAGTGAAATAGAATGTTAATAATTACTAACAAATTTATAACTTCACATTTGCACTATTGTCTGAATATCAAATAACTGCTCATTGCATTGTTTCCTTGATAAAAGAAATATATTCATTCTAAAAGGTAGCAGGATTTATTCAACACTTAAAAAGATTTGTTCCTCTTTCAAAAAGATCAAATGAGGCCTTTTATAGTCCACCTTAGTACATTTGTGCCAATGACAGCTTAGGCATTGAGCATGCTTTTGTAATTGATTGCAGGATTTGGCTTTTTAAAGATGAGGGGTGGGGGTTGGATGGGTGGGGTGAGGGAGGTGTAAGCAAAATACTTTTGAACATAGAGCACTAGAAGACATTCTCACCATTCTAAGGAATGGAAGGGTTGATAAAACATCTGGTGAGAGGTAGAGTTATGGTAGTGTCGTAGAGAGCATGCATGTTTGTCCACTGTTTATCACACTTGTTACTAAATATGTTTTTGTTAATTTTCAGACTTGTAGCATGATGATTAACAGTATGCACATTGTTTGATATCACTGTTACACTGTGCTTATATTTTTTGTTTCAGGGTATTCACTTCCAATATTTGCTCAGTAGACGTACATGTAGTGAAAACAACATTTGTGAACTTGCAAAATATGAAAATGCCATTGGTTTACCTGAAACAGTTTTATCTATAAATTGAACTAGCATTGTAAATAGTGATGCATAAATATGAATTGGTTAAATAGTCATTTTTAATGTATAAATTGTATTAAGTTTTTATTTGAATTCCTTTTAATAACATGACATGCTATATTTTCTCAGTCATTCTGATTGTTTGGTTCAACTATTGTGGTGCACAGGACACAGGGCATAAGTGTCCAATGATATTTAGATTTTGGGATATTGTGAGATTTGACAGTTATTCACTAGTATGTGACCAATATATTAAGCTGTGGATAAAAGTGTGTTAGGTGTGACATTGTAATTGCTGTGTTGGATGGTGTGACTTGCTGTTGTCACTGGTGGATCCAGTGTCCCAGGTGGGAGATTGAGGGAGGCTTATCTTTCTGCTGCTTCAGCCTGGCACCTGGCAGGAGATGTATGCCTAGATAGTGAATAGGATGCTTAAAGTTCCCTCTCCCCTTTAATTGACATGCAAGTGCACACACATACACGCACATGCATACATACATGCACACGCACACACACACACACACACACACTTGGGTCTAGCTTTGGTTGCAGTTTGATATAGTACCTGGAATTAATATTTTGTTTTATTCTTCCAGTCTCAAGAAGAAAGACTCGTCGCCGAGGTATCACTGGCATGACAAGTGAAGAGGAGGATTGGGAGGGCCACAGATATGACCTACCACACTTTGGACAGTCTCCAGGACCCACCCCCACCCCCAGCCCCCCCTCCACCCCCAACACACCAAGTCAGATGTCAGTCTCAGAGGTCTGTCACCTAGATATGAATGCAAAATAATACTTATATGTTTTCAAAAATTAAAAGACCTATTCTAAATTATGTACATATTTTTTGCATTTAATTTTACTGTGGCACCTCTGCCACTCTATTTTGATTAAGATTTTATTTTCATTACTTCTTTTCTTTCATAACTTTTATGAAACAGGTCAGTTTTGCAATAACAGCTAGCCACAGGTTAACATTTTATAGTCCTGCATGCCATTAAAACCTGATCCTTACCAACTCAAGGGGCTCCATAGTAACATAGTATACATTGTATCCCATTACCCTTGACATTCCCCAACTCAGTGGCCAATTTCTCACATTTTAGACTTGGGTATGTTATAATATATGAGCACTGAGTCCAGTGTTACTGTTGTTGTTGTTGTTGTTAACTGCCCGATGGTCACTATATTCCAGGGAGGAGAGAGCACAGAGGAGGAGGTCGAGGTAGAGGAGAAACCTAAGGCAGTAGCAGGTACATATGTCATCCAACTGATTCTTCAGTTGATACAGTAATACTAGCCTTGTAGTTTATACGGTTTTTACTGCAGTTGAAACATAATACAAACAAATGAAAGCAAGTATCTTGGTAGATGATGTACAAAATTATGTACAAGTATGTACATATGCAGAATTCAAAATATATCCTAATACAGTAGTATGCATCATGCAGCTAGATATAGGTTTGCTTACAAAATAAAAAGTGAATGAATTCTAACATGCTGGATAAAACATTTCTTTTGTCTAAACATGTTTAAAGAAAAACTGTGGTGAAAATATAACACAATGGGCATTTGAAAAGTTTTAATTTTCTATACCAGTAAGTATTCTATCTTTGGAGATATGTAGTCTTACAGGAGAATTCTATTTGTGTTTACTTTATAATCCACAGCCCAGCCAGTGACCAAGAAGACCACAGCCAAGGCCCCAGTCCAGGACATCATGAAGCAGAAGATAGTGGAGCCAGTGACAGAGAAAAGGGTGGACATGTCCAAGGTCAAAATTGACACTAAGTCCTTATTTGCCAATAAACGGGTCGTGATGACCCAGAAAAAAGAAGCTGACCATGGCCATCAGAAATCTGGAGGATCTGTGCTGGTAGGTATAGAGCAGGGTTTATTTGTCAACCACCATCCTCCTATTGTTCCAATTCCAATATATACATGTATCATAATATAGAAACATTCTAGAACCATATTCCTTGCAATTATACATTAAACCTAAATTGTTTTGCAACAGTTCATATTCCTTACTTTGTAAGAAATGTGAAACAGGCCTTTTTAAACATAAACAGAAGTTATAAACAGAAATATGAATATTAAAAAAAAACCTATGATAAAAGCTCATAATAAGCTAAAAGGAGAGTTTATTTACAGAAAGATGTTGGTGCAAAATTCAGTTTGGAATTCAAAGTGGACACACGAAAATTTAACACTCATCAAGTAGTAATAAAATGTACTCTTTCTCTACTAGGAGTCTGAGCTATCCAAACCAAAACGAGAAGTGGTTAAGAAGCAGATGAAGTCAGACAGGAAGAAGCCAGTGAAGAAGTCTGTTGTAGACTCAGATGACAGCAGTGAGGAGGAGGAGCCCCCTCCTAGGAGACCACCTGTTAAAAAGGTACCACTCACAACAGCCAGTAGAAGCTTTTTGTGGGAAATGTCATTATTGATTTCTCTTATTCACACTGATTGCAAGTTGCCATTGTTCACAGGTGCTTGTGAACTAGGCACCTGAAGCCATCTAATTATGGAAATGCGTCAGTTCCAATTATTTCTTGATTTTTTTTTACGAGATTTTAACAAAAGCAATAAAAATGAAAATCAATTATTACAGAAAGCAGCAGCAAAACCAGTCAAGAAAGTAGCTCAGCCAAAAGTGGAAGAATCTCCAAGAGAGCCAGAGCCTGCCAAACCAGAGAAGTCTCGGGAGTTTGAGAAACACTCTGCTAATCTGGAAGTTGGCCCAAGGAAATTTGGTGCAGGAGCTGGAGCCGGCGCCAGTTCCTCTGGCAAAGCACCACCTCTCCCACAGAAGAAGAAAACCCCTATACAATATAATCAAGTTGCCAAGTCAGAGTCTGGCATTGGGGAAGAGGAGCTGACTGAAGCAGCAGTTTTAGCTGAGGGTGAGTAGCATTGTGGTAGCTGTGACAGTGTACATTGTGTTGGTTGTGACAGTGTGCAGTGTGTTAGTTGTGACAGTATACAGTGTGAGAAACATTCTCTGCTGCAGTTTAATAGTCATTTTTGAACCCATGTCAATGTATTTGGAATGTGAAACTGAGACAGAGCAATTTGGATGTATTTGACTATGTATTGGTGAATTAAACCTGAAATGAGTAAATATATTGTCATTTATTACATTTGGAAATTTGTCATAAGTACAGATTTAGATCAAGTAATCTTCTCATTTTCAGTCTTAAGAATAAGTATCTGCAGATAAAACTAAGAAGACTTTCTGTAGAGTAACATGATTGTTTTTTTTAGATACAAGTGCTCAACAAAATTCTGAGGCTGGTCAGAATGAAGCTCAAAGTCAAGTGGTAGGTTATCAGAACAGAAATTTTCTAGCATGCCACAAGTAAATGTATAATAAATATTAAAACTTTGCTCTTTCTTAAAACTGGTCTATTAGAACTTTCAGTGATAGCATAATGCAATATAACTTGACAATGTTTAGTTTAAAAATTTTTTTGGAAGTAGGCCTTGTAGGTTTAATAATAATTTTCTTTAAGAAAAAAGCTGATGGTCCTTAAATGGCAATAGGAGCTTGTTCAAGCAGGTCTGATGTTTTTAATGTCTTTAATGAATTTATCATTCCAGGATGAAGCAGATGATCCTGACAGGGCTATGTCAGCTAAATCCAGCAGGTCAAGGAAGTCTGGTTCCTCCTCAGCAAAAAGCCTAAAATTTGGAATTGACGCAAGCTTGGATTTTGATACAGGTAAGTGTATTTAACATATTTTTTGCAGGTTTTATGTCATAAGGTTGAAATATAAGCAAGTGTCTTAAATGTTTTTTTTTTCACTTGTGTTCAAAAATCTAGGTACAGCAAAGGAAATTATGTGATATATAATAATATCTCTTCAGTGCTATTCTTTGTTTTCTGGACTTATTCCAAGAGTGTTAAAATTTGTCATCAATTCTGAGTATTTTTTTATAAAGAAATCTTTGTGAATTTATTGCATTGTTTTTATATGATGTTTGGTAATTTATAACATTTGTGTCTATTAAAAATATTATGCAGCTTGGTTTCGAAAATATTTATTATCAGAGGAACTGTGGTATTGGGATAATCATGATTTCTTTTGTTTTTGAACAAAAGGCACCACATCACATTCTGGTGGCACTTTATATTCCATTCTCCTTATTGCTTGACTCTATTTTATTTTGCTTTTATTTTGTTTTTTTTTTACCTGTGTTTTCTTTTCTTTTTTTCTGCTTTGCTTCTCACAATAAAGAATCAGGAATTAGTCGAGCTGCTTCATTTGCTGCTATCAGGCGTCAATATGGGAGTGAGGCTGCCGTCAGCAAAGTCATAATAATGCGTAGATTTACGGAAGATGTTGCTGGAAATGTGGATCCTGACGGTACTATATAGCATGACACTAAAAATGAATGCAGTGTTATGTATTGTTATACATGGCATGCTGTCTGCCATATGTACTGTAGTACTTTGTGGAAAAAGTTTATATAGTATGCTGTAATATATAGTCTTATCTAAACTAATTTTATTTTGTACACCATAATTTCACAGTATGATGTCTGATGTGTTGCACCCTGCAGTGTATGCACTACTTCCATAGATTGAGCTACTGGAATCCAACACACCACATGTATTTACTGTGTGCTACACATGTTGCTCTCAGCTTTGTGATGCACCAAATATCACAAATAAAAACATGCAACCAAAGAGCGACCCTTTTTTAAAAAGAGGTGTTTAAGTGTTTATTGGTTGTAGGTTGAGTTCATAAATATTTTACAGGTGTGGTATAGCTAGGAGGCAGTCCATCACAGCCTGCAAAAATCACAATGTTGTCATGTTTTTCATACTTTTACAGGTGTGCCAGGCCATTGAGAATATTATATTTATTACCATGTTCTTTTTACTTTTGAATAGCAAAAGATAATGTTACTCTATGCCAACTGTTTTCAGAGATAAAACCTTTGGGGGCTTTTCAATTGATGTGTCTTACTTACCTAGATAGGGAGAGCCAAGACTAAGGCACAAGCACATTGACAACTTACAGAATTTGCGATTGACCTTCATTGATGTATTTATTTAATCATCTATTAAACAATTTAATCTATTATATGTATTTAATCTATATTTTGTCCAACTTTCACAGGTTGACTTTCAGCACACACACCAAAGTTATAGCCATTTAGAGACAGCAACTATGAGAGAATCATAACTGATATTGATGTGTCTTAATAATCTTACTTTAGCAGGCAGATCTCGGTCATTCACGGAGTCGACCGCCTTCAGAGACAGCGACTATGAGAGTGTTCTAACCGATGTTGATGTGGACTTGGAACTAACCAACCAACAACATGTTACTCACATTTCTTTCCAAACCAAAGGAGCCCCAGACACGCCTAATAAGCATGATTTACACCCTGGGAATCGACCCAAATCTGTGCAGTGGCACGGTACATGTAATGTAGAGATACATGTAGACTACCTCTGACCATTTTATAGAGCTCTTCACCAGTAGTCCTAGCCCATTTGTGTAGCACCCTGAGTCTCACTACTTTACTTCATAGCCTGAATATGTCTCTGACTATTTTGTCTATCTATTCTTGTATAGAAATGTAGTCCACGTACATTTTATTGCACCCCAAGTTTCACAGCATAACTGTACTGAAAAGTTATTTAAAATTTTTTGATTGAGCATTTGCAAATAGCTTTAACACTGCAGTAAAGGCAGAAGTACAGGGGTAGTAGACCAAGCGTTTATATGACACCCTGAATCTAAGGGCAACTTGATACGTATTTAGGTAATAAACAGTCCTAATTTCATCATTTCTTTGTATACTTTTAAAGTATAAAAACTTATGCTAGGCTTTGAAGCTGGGGTGTGAATGTTCTCATCATTTATTTGGTTTGCTGTAGCTCCATCTCTGATAGTTGCTTATTATCCCCTCTCTCTTTTACAGATCATTTTGAACATTGGTGTGATCATCATTTTATCACCAATTGTTTAATAATTATTTTAAAAAAATCCCTTGCCAATCTTTCCTGTGGATTCTCACCCTGTCTTCCACTGCTGACATACTAGTATCACATATTTAACTTGTAGCTTAATTCTATTTCAGCTCCAATAATATTTGAGCTATGATTTCAAAAAAATATAAGTCAATCCAGTTCTGGAGACAACTTTATCGATTCTTGTCTGTTTCTGTAGGATCTTTGCTATTTATCCATTTTAAATCTGTACTTTTTTAGCCTCAGTTGCAGCACCAGATTTGTAGTTTTTAGTAATGCAGTAGTATATTTTATAATAATATTGTCACATTTTTCTAAATTTCTCATTATTATTATTATTACACCTAAATATTTAGTAGTGACACTGTATTTTTGTTGAGAAAACACAACTAGTATTCATTTTGTGCTTCAGAACTGTAGAGTTAGTGTTTTTGGTGTCTCTAGTATTGAGGTGTGTTTACTATAAAGTTGTGACAGCCTAACTTAATCCTGTACTATCTCTGCAATAACAATATCTATAACCACAGACATGTGATCTAATTCCCTGTTGCTCCACCCATTGCTGTTGGAACTGGGGGTGGTTCAAAATTATTACAATTACACAATTTGCTGAGATAGGGAGGTACTAAGTTAAGCCAATTAAATTAAATTTAGTTTTCAAAGACTCAGTCCAGCTTAGTAGTAAATACAGCTGCATTAACACATACTTGTATAGTAGCTTACTAACCTAATATATGTGCTTTTTATTTCAACATCCTTGCTGTTATTTTGACTATTGTTTTATTTTATTTATACACAGTTTTATTACATTACATGAATTGTTAGTATGAATCCCTTATCAATAAATCAATTGCATGTAAACAACTGTAAGTTTTATTAAACAAGAGTATGTAACTTGTGGAATCTGTTAATACTAAAAATCTGCTACTTTATTCACTACCAATAGTTTGTCTAATTGATTGGCAATCAACTCTGTATACTTTATTGATATACCAATCTGTAACTTATGAATTTGTTGTAACATTCAATTCCTATAATAATGGTAATCATGACAACTGTACACTATAAATTTTGATGGCAACACTAGACTTTTTAATTGTTTAACACAGTTTTCCAAGTAGTAAACTTCTAGAAGCTCAGACTCTGTCTCTAGCAGTTAAGAAATAATTCTCTTAATGGCATTGATTTTCTCCATCAATTATTCACACTCCAAACATCTTGACCAAAGGATTAGGCATATTTGTCCAATTTATTCTCCAGATGCGACAAGTGAACAGTACAATGAGAGTGCAGCAGACATGGAGGCACTGGAACGCTCCACTCTCACCTCCCCAGACCCCAGCCGGCGATCTATCACCCCTGGAGACGGATTTTACTCAGACACAGACTCCATCCGTGATGGTCAGATGAGCATGGACACCATGTCCATCCTTGATCGAGGGTCATTGTTGCCAGTGGACAGTGTCAGTATGAGGTCCTTTCTGCTCAGTCCAGGAGACAGACTACAGGCTGGAGCAGACGACATGAGGTCCTCCATTATGACACCTGCCACTCCAACAGGTAGGATTCCAACTTGCCTAGATCTTAGATGTTGCATCTTTTAAATTTTCTGTTTGTGAAGAAAGTTCTCATTTCACCAAAAAAAGGTACAATCATAATATTTTCTGTTCGTGGAGTTTGATTTTCTTAATGCTAGATAGAAATATTTTGAGTATTTTCAGTGCACTGCAGCCCTGACTACAGAGCCTGGTTACCATAGAAGTCCTTCAAATTTTTCATGTGCATTATGAAAATTGATCTGTATGTATTGTCTTTTTATGGGAATGAGAAAATTATGCCAGGCTTTCAAATCTTTAATTGGGCACAGTTTTTTTCTTTCTTTTGGGGTCAGATAGATTTTAAAGCAATATTATTGTATCAACCAATGCTTACTGTTTACAAAGACATTTTTTCTTTCAAATGGGTACGCTGTCTTTCTCCTTCATTTTTTCCTGAACCAATTCATTCTTTATGTCAGTATTGTTACTGGTATGTGTAATTTTACTGCTTGAAAGATTTTGTGCATTCAGTCTATTAGATGTTGATTCTTAGGACACTGTCATTGAATACACACCCTAAAGTCATTCATCACATGTATTTGTAAGAAAAAAAATTTTTTTTAATCCATTTGTGTCAACCTCGAGGACCTTGGTGAAACATCCACAATTGAATAATTGAGTCATACTCATTACAAAACAATTTCTATTCAGTTGCTTCCTTTCGCTCCCTGTTTGTTTTGTTTGTAAACAGTTCTCATACGTTTTTTCTTATAGAGTTAACCTGCTACTTGCATTCTTAACTTACAAAGGAAAATTCTTGGCTGTTTATCTAATTCTGTGGGGTGTATTTAACTCTTTATTGTGTTAATTTGTTTTGAAATAGGATATTTAAGGTCAAAGTTATTCTCATGTCCCAGATATTATTGAAACCTGACCTATTTGTTGATTAATCAAGCTATCCTTCTTGACAACTGACAACAGTTCTTGATATTTTAATGTGCATGTTACTCGGTGCTAGAAATCAGAGGATCGGAAAGAGGCAGAACTTGCAATGGGACCCTAGAGATATTGTAGTGTACATTTTATTTTCTCATGAGTAAATGATGTATTTTATGGAATCTTAACAACTGAGAAAATTGCTGGTGGTTTTCATTTGCACGTTTCTTGGTGTTAAAGGTTAAAAACAATGAAACTGAGGTGGGTAATTTAAAAGCTGATATGAAAGTCTGCATTGTTTTTTAGTATTATTTTATGATTTATTTTATGCTAAGTCTACAACTGTCATAAGGCATAAGGATTTTAATGTGCATGTTTCTTAGCACTAATAGTGTAGCTGCAAGAGAAAAAGAAGAATCAAATTGATATCTTAGACTGCATTGCTTTTTCACTATGGTAAATTATTATTAATTTGTGCCTGCTTAACAACTGTGGACAGCATTGAGGATTTTATTTGTGATTCTCCAAGCACTTGATGCTAAGAACAGGGATATAAAGATATTGGACATTTATGTGATAAACTGCATAGCTTCTTCACTATGATTACTTGTTACTTCGTGGAAGCTAGCCTATCACCTCTCAGCTGGCACATGTTTGTGTTCTGAATATTTGAGAACTCTAAGAACTGAGACACAGAAGAGTTGCAGTGCTAAGTGTTGTCATTGTTATAGTTGTGTTGTCACCAGACATTGATTTCAGTGATCTAATTTCAATAATTGGCTGAATTCACAACCCAAGTTGATCTGCATACTAACAGATCCGTGGATAATATATGGCCAATCCACTTGAATGTTTACCACATAATCCCTGCAGGGCATCTATTCAGTGTCTATTAGAGGATTTTGCAGCAAGCTTTCAAGTGGTTCAGCCATATTTGATCCGTGGATCTGTTAGTCCAAGGATCAGCTTGTTCTGAATGTGGCCATTGTTTCAGCTGATTTTTAACACCTACATGTATTGATTGTATTCCAGACACTGACATTACGCGTCCACTGAGGCCTCACACAGCAGGAGTATACTACAGGGACTACAGTGAACATGGAGATGATGTGCAGGTTAGTATTTTGACCTTTGACTTATAATATTAATCTTTACAGTGTATCATTTTATATGTACAGTTAGAACTTTTTTGAAAACTGTTATTTCATTTCAATATTTTGGCAGTAATGTCTTATGTCTAAAAAATAATTGAAAATTTCAGGAGACTTGACTGTCTAGTGCCTGAAACTATGATTTTCAAAGAACATCATTAAGTTATAACAAGGTTAAAAATTTATTTGACTGGATGTGAACTGTGTTTGTCATCTTGTTTTCAGGATCTTGAAGCCACCTACATGGATGCATTAAGGAGATATCAAAATTCACCTGGGTAAGTAGAAAAATGAATTCTTAAAGATTAATTACTTTTCTTCCCTTGTTGTTTTCCTGAAATAATTTTACTATTGAAATGTTAGTTTTTACATTGTTTATATGGTAATTCATTTTGAAAGGGCAGAAATCTTAGGAAAATATTGTGATATTAATATCTTGTCCTCTTCCTCCAGTGTTGCGCCTCTAGATAAACTGTACAGAAATGATGGCACCTCCTTTGATGATCACTGGCAGGAGAGAGCCATAGAGAGGTAGGCTTAGTCTGCAGGCTGACTTTATGTGTTGATTGATATTTCTGAAAATTCTGGTAACTTTAATTTCAAATCTTACAGTTTGTTATGGTTAAGCATTCTTTATATAGAACATATGTGGCTATAAGATAATTTTGTTATTTTACTGTGTTTGTAAGTGCTAATAGGTATGTGGTGTGTGTCCATTATTGTTTCCTGTTCAGTACAGTACTATTATGGGGTTGTGGTGTTAAAATTAAGAAAAAAATCTTGTCAAAACACTCCTTATCTTGTGTATTAAAGGGATATATTCTGTTTTTGAATGGCTAGAAAGAACACTGCATATTGATTATATATAAGATAACATTTATTTGATAGAGAGTTGTTTCTTGACAAAATCTGATCAAAATTAGAAAGGTGTAAGCAAGTAGACAATGACTATTTTACAGGTACGTGAGTTAACAAATAATTACTCATGTGCATATTTTGAGTGTAGCTAATTAGCAAAATTATTGCATATCATTATTTAGTTAAATTAAATACATGAGGAAGGAAGGTTGAAGGAAGGTTAAAAAACCTTATTTGGAATATGAAGAGAGGGTTGGATTGTCTTCACATTAGGATAGAAAATACATTTTGGGTCCTAGCTTTGGATTCATATTTATATATATATATATCAGCTATAAAGGACACCCACTGTGCTTCTGTGATCCAAACACTCCCAGTAACTTATTAGTGTCCTATCAGATTGTTTTTAGACATTAATTTTGTAAAATGCGATGTATTAAAATGGTAAACTCTTCTTTGTAATATTCCTGCTCAGTGATTCAAAGTTGCCCTTCTGACAGTAGTTGTGGCCCAAACCCTCTTCTCTCACTTAACAAATATCAGCTGATGATTGAACAATGCTGACATTTTATAATATTGGTGTGAAATACTGAGACAACGTAAACACCTTCATTATACATCACAGTCTAAAGCCAGGTCTGCTCTCACAGTGAGACAAAGGTGACCAGTGGCGTATTTGTTTGTTTGTAAGCATGCATCTCAAATGACCCTTTCTTATAGAATATTGTTTACGCGTGTGTATAAACACAAACACAATTAAGTATTATGCTTCTCCACTGTAACAATGTAACAACTTCTAGTGAGGTTTAAACTGACAAAAGAACTCTGTTAGGGCACTGACCTGGATTACAGCCCTTGAATTATAAATTTAATCCATCTATGTGTGTATATCATACATGTAGGTGATCAGATGTTATTGTACAGGTAGGCTTTTAGTTTTTAAATTAAAAAAAAATTGGTTAAGAATTAGTAAAGAAAATCAAGATCTGAAAAATGTGGTATACTCTTTGTGAAAAAAAAAGTTAAACTTGGATCAGCCATTAAAAGGTTTTACACAGATTAGTTCACCTTTGTTGATGTTTGAGTGCTAAACAGTGTGATAATGATGTAAATGATCTAGGACCCCATTCATACAGATTTTACATCGACCTATCCCTGTGGGGAGTCTCACTAGATTACTGTCAGCTTAGCCGGCTTAAGCGTCTGTCCCGCCTACTAAAAGCTGTAAGGGGGTAATTAACTGTCATGTGCGCTAGGCTGACTGCAATTTAGCGTGAACCCCCAGGGAGTTAGGTCGATCCGGATGGATCTATCTAAATCTCTGGGAATGCACTCTAGGAGATGCAGGTTTAGTCTGTAAGGATCCATATTACCCAGGATGCTGAGACACTAACCAACTAGAGTGCTTCAGTCATCTTTGAGATTTTCTCACTATTTTTTATATCTTACTGCAGTGTTATTTCAGTATCACTGTATACAACATACATTTTTCAGACACTTGCTGCTGAAGATGCAGAGACAGCTGAGAAGTCAGAGTGCTGCAGAGAGAAGACAGCTGCTGGACCTGAGGCAGAAACAAAAGAGGAAAGCACTTTTAGGCCACCATAATTGTGATCAGCCACATTTGAATGGTCAAAGTAAGAATTGCGTTATTCTTTATACTGTAATGAAAAATCATTAGTGAACATGAATGTCTGCTGTGATGGCTGAGCATACAGGTATTATATATATGAGTATGTAAATATTTAAGGTCAATAGGAGATCATACATTGTGTGGATGTAATGTTGTGGCAAAGATGTGTTCTTACATGTCTCATTAGTTATTGAAATTATCTAATAACCTTAAGAATGTTGTCTAGATGGACTTGTAAAATTGTAATAGGAGGTAGTGGTCGAATTACTGAAATCTGAAATATAATAATTTGTTAAAACAACTTTTATCTATTTATGAGGTTCTGACAATTTACTTGAAATTTTTCATGATTTGATTCACAATAAGTAATGACAACTAGATATTTTATAAGAGGTCAAACTGTCTTAATGAGCAAATAATTTTTAAAAAGATATATGGTAAATTAGGAGGATGGTAATATTTGTTGAAAATGTGCTGTGCATCCAAAGAAAAGTTGTAAATTCTTATCAAATGAATAGAAAGACAGCAGAAATGCCACGTTCATGCATCTAGCAATTTTACAGCTTCATCAAGCCATCTTGACATATTTGTCTTCTCTCTTCAGATCGTGCGTCCAGAGCGGCTGAGGTTGCCATGCATCTGTTCCACGTGGAACGTGCCAACACCCCCGTGTCTACCACCAGGGGGAATGACCGCAGTAAAAGTGCTCCTGCTGGTCAGGTGCGAGGTGGTGGTCAGCAGGTGCCCCCTACCACCCCCAAGACGGCCTTTGTCCAGCCAGTGCCACAAATGGACAAGGCAGAACTAAGTGCTGAGAGACCTTTCAGGTATTTGTACCACCTATTTACATGCACATGGTTTGTTGAGGCATTTGTGAGGGGTCATATTGGATTACTAATTATTACGCCTTGTCTCCCTGTATGTATACAAATTATTGCTGAAGTAATTTTATAAGTGAATTATAGAAGTGTATTACATTGATTATATAGTGTTTTTAAAATACATATTATCTGTTAGAACTGGAACATAAAATACAATTGCAAAACTCATGAAATGATTTTCACTGAAACTTAACTGAATGGCAGTATGATCTATGTTAATTATATATATATCCTGATATTGACTTTTGAATGTCTTTCTAACATGTTTGCAGTGCTGTATCCATTTGTATAAGTTTTGCTGAGATTCTATTCATTTAATACATGAAATTACCCAAATGACACATGACTCAAGCTGTTGCCTCCCTCCAGGATACGGATCAGCAGTGAAGCCCCCCAGTTGCCAGTCCAGACCACAAGAACTAAGGAAGTGCAGTTTGATGCTAGGGCCAAGAGTGCCCACCACGGGCCAGAGCGAGGCCAGCGGCAGGGGTCTGCCATCTTTGTCCGACCCCAGTCCACCACGCGGTCAATACCCAGCAAGTGCAGGTGGGAACCTTGAATTTGTTTGTAGAAAACATCAACTGGACTCTCAACCTTGCTTTGAATTCTTGATTGTCATCCTAATATAAAACCCCCATTTCTGCACTTCCCATAATATATTTAAGTCAGTCTAGAGTGGTCAATGAATGGTCATCGATAGCTGATTAATTTGCTCTGTGTAATCAAGTGATCTTTAACATTATATCATTACTGATATGTACACCATTTTAATATTATGACTTATTAAGAAAAAAGGAAGGGTATTTTTTAAATATGTAATTATTGATACAGTTTGTACCTAATGATTCAAATGTATTTATCAAGTATAAATGATCAGAAATTAGATTTTCTAAGTGATGCAAAACATGCTTTACATTTGGGCATTTGATCTGTCAATTTAATTTCTAAATCATTGCAGACTTTAATGCACCATAAGAACTTAGTATGTGACATTATATTGTTGATATATTAAGATACTGAAGTATGCAATTTCTCTTTCATTGCAGTCGCTATATTCTCATCAACCATCCCAAGCGCAGGTCGCCATATACCACTCCCACCCCACTGGAGGAACAGCTTCTGAAGCAGAGGTTTCCCGAGCAGTCAAAGAGGATCCTGCCCAAACCAGCCAGGGACAGGGACAGAGTGTCACGTGCTCACCTGGCGGAGTACACCTCCCTGCCTTTACACTTCTAACAAGGAGATGAGATTGTTGCTCTGTTGGTGAAATAGCAGACTTCCTGTGCAATGTAACACAAAACCGACAAAGCCACACAGTGGCTCTGAAATTAGATGATTGAGTGACATGAAAGTTTTTTTTTGTAAGACCAAATATAGCAAACAAAGCGCCAGTAGTTGACCTTATCAAGCATAGTGTAGTAAGGAAAATTGGCAGCTAAACTTGAATTATTCAGGAACAGCTTCCATTATCATACTTTGCCCAAAATGTCTGAATGGCATATTTTGCTCAAGCCATCAAGTTTGTAGCAAATGAATGAAACTAGAATACACAAAAGGTTCAGAATAGTTGGAGGGTTGGAGTAAAGTGTGGGAAATACTTTAGACCAAGTGCCATATGCCTGAGAACCCATCATACATAGTTTTTATGTGTCAGCATTTTTATTGTAGACTCTGAGCTGTAAGTATGTAAACTTTTATAAATATTTAAAAAAAGATTTGTGATAGCAAAGAATGTTATGTGACAAAGCGTACAGTTAGTTGTGTTGTTAAGATGCTATGTTGCGTTTGTTTTTGTATACTGTGTGTGTAAACAGTATAGTATATTGAGAGATCTGTGATGTTATAGTTCTTCATTGAAAGAATGTGCAAAACTGTGATCAAGTTATTTTTAGTTAACAACATTTTGTTTTACAGTCAATGTTATAATATGAGTAATGGATATTTGAATGTAAACTCAAAGTTAATATTTTTGCTTGTGATGTATAAATATTATTGTCATTATCCAAATATATACAACGTTTGTCTCTATAAAATGTTTTTGTTATGTAAAACATCTAGCAAAGGACATAACAGTAACATCAACATTATGTCAACTGTAAACATGACGTCGCTGCTGATAATTATCTACAATCTATTAGACATAATAATGCTTAAGCTTCAGTTAATTCAAGTTATAAATTGGTTATATTTGCCAGTTGTATAATGAACATGTGCTTTACTTAATAGGTACTGGCACCATGCATGTATTCATACTATACATTGGCAATTTCCAATAGAACCTGCTGAATTCAGCTGCAATTCATAACAAATACTATCAAAATTTCCAACTGTTTTCTAGGTAAAAATGACACCAAGAGATCGCTTGCATTCAAGGTAAACAAAGACCTTAATGTTGCAAATTTTTAAAAAGTATATTATCAGTAAAATTAGCCATTTTTATTCAGAGAAAAAACAAAAACAAAAAAAAACAATGCTGTTATGAAATTAAACTTCACAACAGTTACATAATAATAACCTTTACAATAAGGTTGTTTCAAACTTCTTGAATATATATGTCTCACCATTAATCAAAATACTAAATCATTACAATCTTATAAAACTACTATCTGTATGCAAAATTTACAGATATAAATTATTAAATTCATAACATAATATAGCGATTGATAGTGAAATCAAATATTGGCATAGGCTAAAAAATTAGCAAAACTTATCAGCACAAAGCCTTGATATCATTGTAACTTAAAGATGGTAGGACTAACTGTGCTCAATAATATTATTTTACCATATTAAAATATGCCGTATTACATAATTTCAGCTGAAATTGAAAAATTCAAAGGGCATCTCACATTTTTGACTAATGTGGTAATCACTTGAATGTTTGACAATCATCAATCAGCTACCAGTATCTCTGTCAATCTTAGTCTAATTACAAATCAAATTAAATTTGATAGCACATTCAATTTTAATCATAGACATTTTTAAAAGAAAAGACATCTAGTGAATTTAAAACATATGGGGCCAGTTTTATAAAGGACGTTTAGCACTAACCAGTGGATAAATTCTCCTTACACCCATTAACTAAAAGATGGTTAAATTGTGTTTCATATACAGTCTTCTGACGGAAAACAACCAATTAGTTAACTGGCCAGTGTTTAACTGGATTAAATAATTATTTAAAGGTCAGTTAACTAACAGACTGTTAAGGTCTGGTTAGAGTTAAACACTGGTTAGTGCTAAACGTCCTTTATAAAACTGGGCCATGGTTTGCATGTTGTATTTACACTTTCTTTTTTCTGTTTCAACTTTTTGAATTATCTATTAATATTTTAGTAAAACTTAGTCAGTTGACTTACTTAAATCTTATGGATTGTTCTTATGGATCAGATGATAGTTTCAATGACCATGACTGCTACTGTTGATTCCCCTCCAAAATGTGCGTTTCTGATCAGAGATTCTAAGTGCACTGATATGTACAGTTTGCCCTCACTGTTGCCAACCTACACATTTATAAAATGTCTTTTCTTTCGAAAAAATAATCTTTCTCATCAGTTTTTACATATTTTTAGGAAGTATGACAAAAGAAAGATACTGGCATTTAGAGTGCTATCATGTTAAGCTCAACATATCAATAAATAAAAAATTCAGGCCAAATGATAAATTGTTCATCAGAGTGGCGATGGCGGCACCCATTTGTAAGTCCCACTGTATCTAAAACCTACTCTCTGACAGAGGGCATCACCTTCTGCAGGTCCACGGCTGAAAAGAGAAGAATGTTTTTTAAAGAAGAGTTAAGAAAATATTATTATTATTATTGCACTTGTTATTCTGGTCTAGAACCCAATACATACATCTGCAGGGCACTAACTGTGTATGACATATCTGACTAATATGTAAATAAGCTGTGCAATCCATTTAAAGCACATGACACAAATATGCTGACATATGTTTTATGATATGAATGCAGAGCTGTGCAGGAGCTAAAAAGCTTTAAGCATGAGAATAAGTCCTCAATCGTTGTTTTAACAAGTACTACATCATTTGGACACATCATTGAAATATATTACCAAAAACCCAAAACATGTAAGGCTTAATTTATCAGTAATTAAGAATTTGAAAATATACAAATACCAGCCATAATTAAAAACATCAACTTCAAGTAAACTTTAGTCCGTCTTCACATCAGGACTAACTTAGACCAGACAGTGACTACACTGCATCATACAGCCTGATAATCACATGAACCATGTTTACCATAAGTCCTTGGTCTAAATTATTCCTGGTGTGAACACAAAATAAAATCTTTATCATCACTGTCCACCTGATGAGGAAGGTAGGGGGGAGGGTCCAATACCAAATCAAAAAGTTATTTAAAATTTAGTATCATAACTTCTTGATTAGCAGGTGCAATGATTAAACAACTCTTTAGATAAGTGCCTCATAAAAAATTGATCCTTGATCTATGGTATTAACTGAGCAATCACATTTAACCAAATTACAATCATGCATGATTTTCAAGAGCTGGAAATAAATATTAATATGAAGATAATCATTAAAATAAAGGTTCTGTGGAGTTTGCAGCAGTTATGGTGTTTAAAGCAACAAAGAAACATCTTTTGCACACTGTAATTAGTAAATCAACATCAATTTAAGATTTGCTGAAATTTCAAATCTTAAATTACCAATTTTAGAATATTAGCTGAACTAACATGATTACTACAAAGTGTGCAGTAACAAGCTGTGCCTGCTTCATCAAGCCACTGGTAGCTAATTGCTACTGCATGGCAATAAATTTGTTGTGTTCTTTATAAATCTAAAACAATCTACAGTTAATAACTACATGGCTTTATGAAAAAGCTGCAGATTAGATTTTCCAAGCAAAAAATTGTGTGCTTTAACAATTCAGTCAGCATAAAGAGGTTTTAAATTAGAAGAGCTATGTGCAGGGTTGATGGCGCCATCTGCTACAACTGAACTGGTCACATTGGCCTATGGCATTGTGTTGAATGCAGCCAATTAATTTATACACTGTGCATCTTTTAAACACTTTTGTATCACTGCAAATATATATATATATTTGATTAAAATAATAGCAGGACCAGCTCTGGTAAAATAACGACCATGCTGGAGTTGTAGCAGTGTATACAGAATCAACCTGCTCTCAAGCTGTTAACAGAAGATGATATCACCCCAGTCCAGTGCATGTTAATACTATGAAGAACACCCAATCTTAGTAGCTACAACTAACAGTATTAACCAGACCTTGAATGCAAAGCACTTAAAGAGCACTTTCTTGTTTCCATTTGTAAGTGCCAGTGTATTTAAACCCTACACGGGCACAAAGCTCATCTCCCTGGGGTGGTCCTCGGCTGAAGTTAAAAGGAAGCAAACTTGGTCTAAACAGGATTAAAGAGTGATTGAAAATAAAAGCCCCTGTAGATGCAATAGGCACATTAAACTGCTCCTATCAGAGTAACCGAACTTATGAGAAATAAAAAAAAAAATGAAAAAAAAAAAAAAATAAAATGAATAAATTTAGAAATAAAATTTAGAAATAAAAGCCCCTGCCTCTCTCTCCCAGTAACTGGGTAGGGTGTAGAATTACTGTGTTGCAGCATTTTGGCACATTTCAGCATGGAAAGTCTTGGTCAAGTGCTTTGTGCATATTATCTTTTAAAAAGAGTTGTAAAACTCAATAAAACAAAAAAATTTAACCTCACTGAAAAAAAGATAAAAAACCATGGATATTTAATCAATTTGAAACCAAAATGGCTCAAACAAATTGAAATTAATTTCAAGCCTGTCAGCCAAAGTAAAAATGTTTGAGTTAGCTCAAATGTTAATGTGGGCTGTGCAATATTATAACACGCTGCTCCCAAAGTCAAAGATTAAGCTACAACTACAAAAAACTTGGGTCTTACAAAGAAATGCAAACCTTACCAGGAAGTAGAGAAATTGTAGATAAAAAGGTATATCAAAGAACAAGCAAATCAATACATGCTTATAGAATGACAAAGATTTATATTGTAATTTAAAATTATAATAATAGTTACGAAATAAAATTCATATATCCAGCTAACTGTAGACTGACAAGTTGGTCACAACATGCATTCTAACTACTAACTTCAATAAGAGTTGGAAAAAAGCTAAAAAAAATATCAAATAAATCAGATAGTCTTTTTAAATGTTACCTTCCATAAACATAATCAATGGGCTTCTGCTTCTGCCTCTCAATGGTGTGCAGCAATGGAGTAAATATCTTCCATGCCGCAGCCAATTCATCAGAACGGACAAAATTAATCTGGCTGCCATGGAAGACATCTAGAATCAGGCGCTCGTACGCATCTGGTAGCTTGGCATCCTGGGAAAGCGAATAACTAAATAAATANATCACTGTCCACCTGATGAGGAAGGTAGGGGGGAGGGTCCAACACCAAATCAAAAAGTTATTTAAAATTTAGTATCATAACTTCTTGATTAGCAGGTGCAATGATTAAACAACTCTTTAGATAAGTGCCTCATAAAAAATTGATCCTTGATCTATGGTTTTCACTGAGCAATCACATTTAACCAAATTACAATCATGCATGATTTTCAAGAGCTGGAAATAAATATTAATATGAAGATAATCATTAAAATAAAGGTTCTGTGGAGTTTGCAGCAGTTATGGTGTTTAAAGCAACAAAGAAACATCTTTTGCACACTGTAATTAGTAAATCAACATCAATTTAAGATTTGCTGAAATTTCAAATCTCAAATTACTATTTTTAGAATATTAGCTGAACTAACATGATTACTATAAAGTGTGCAGTAACAAGCTGTGCCTGCTTCATCAAGCCACGCTGCTGGTAGCTAATTGCTACTGCATGGCAATAAATTTGTTGTGTTCTTTATAAATATAAAACAATCTACAGTTAATAACTACATGGCTTTATGAAAAAGCTGCAGATTAGATTTTCCAAGCAAAAAATTGTGAGCTTTAACAATTCAGTCAACATAAAGAGATTTTAAATTAGAAGAGCTATGTGCAGGGTTGATGGTGCTATTTCTGCTACAACTAACAGCTAAACTGGACACACTGGCCTGTGGCATTGTGTTGAATGCAGCAAATTAATTTATACACTTTGCATCTTTTAAGCATTTTTGTATTACTGCAAATATGTGTATAAATAAAACATAAAAGTTTGATTAAAATAATAGCAGGACCAGCTCTGGTAAAATAATGTCAATGCTGGAGTTATAGCAGCATATGCATAGTCAACCTGCTCTCAAGCTGTTAACAGAAGATGATAACACCCCAGTCCAGTGCATGTTAATACTACGAAGAACACCCAATCTTAGTAGCTACAACTAACAGTATTAACCAGACCTTGAATGCAAAGCACTTAAAGAGCACTTTCTTGTTTCCATTTGTAAGTGCCAGTGTATTTAAACCCTACACGGGCACAAAGCTCATCTCCCTGGGGTGGTCCTCGGCTGAAGTTAAAAGGAAGCAAACTTGGTCTAAACAGGATTAAAGACTGATTGAAAATAAAAGCCCCTGTAGATGCAATAGGCACATTAATCTGCTCCTATCAGAGTAACAGAATTTATGAAAAATAAAAAAAATAATAAAATGAAAAAAAAAATGAATAAAAAAAGAATGAGACAACCTCTTGAATGAATATTGTATCCATGAAACATACTAAGTTTAACTTATCATTATAATGTAAGAAACCCCTGAACCTTGTGCAGCTTGTAATGCTCACTACCTCACTACTACCACTCCCCTTTGTCAAGTTAGGGTAAAGTATGACTGGTTCTCTTACTTTACTCTCTTTAATAATGCACATTTTTGTATGCTCATTGAATATCAGTTCTTTTTTTTCAAAAACTCTTAAAATTTTTCCTTTTACTATCTTCTATTAGGGAATTTTTGCATCTTTTTTTAATGAAAATGAACTTAAAATTTAGAAATAAAAGCCCCAGCCTCTCTCTCCCAGTAACTGAGTAGGGTGTAGAATTACTGTCTTGCAGCATTTGGGCACATTTCAGCATGGTAAGTTTAGGTCAAGTGCTTTGTGCATATTATCTTTTTAAAAAGTTGTAAAATTCATTAAACTAAAAAAAATTAATTTCACTTAAGAAGATGAAATACCATGGATATTTCAATCAATTTGAGACTAGAATTTACATCCAAAATGGCTCAAACAAATTGAAACTAATTTCAAGCCTGTCAGCCAAAGTAAAAATGTTTGAGTTAGCTCAAATGTTAATGTGGGCTGTGCAAAATTATAACACACTGCTCCCAAAGTCAAAGATTAAGCTACAACTACAAAAAACCTTGGGTCTTGAAACATATAAAAAGAAAAGCAAACCTTACCAGGAAGTAGAGAAATTGTATATAAAAAGGTATATCACAGAACAAGCAAATCAATACATGCTTATAGAATGACAAAGATTTATATTTTAATTTAAAATTATAATAATAGTTACGAAATAAAATTCATATATCCAGCTAACTGTAGACTGACAAGATAGTCACAACATGCATTCTAACTACTAACTTCAGTAAAAATTGGAAAAAAGCTAATAAAATATCAAATAAAAGCATATAATCAGATAGTCTTTTAAAATGTTACCTTCCATAAACATAATCAATGGGCTTCTGTTTCTGCCTCTCAATAGTGTGCAGCAATGGAGTAAATATCTTCCATGCCGCAGCTAATTCATCAGAACGGACAAAATTAATCTGGCTGCCATGGAAGACATCTAGAATCAGGCGCTCGTATGCATCTGGTAGCTTGGCATCCTGGTAAAGCAAATACAAAATAAATAAATGCACCTAATCTATGCACACTAGCATCTTTTTCCATAAGTAATGCTTTCAAACAAAATTTTAATCTTCTTATCACTATTTTTTTTTAAATTTCAAATAAATATGATGTTGCTAAGAATTTAATTTTATTTAAATATTAGCACAGCAAAAAGGATACAGTTGCTGGGTCGATATGAGCAGTGAGTTTATGACCTTTATGAATGATAATGTTCAAAAACATGAAACATTTTGTTTCAAATTGCACATACAGTATTTATAAATTCAAGATGCCTCATACTCTCCAAGTAATATCATAATATCTATTTACAAGCCCACTTTTACTAAGCATATCTTCCCATCTTGAATCACAGTGTTTATAAGGAAAAATCATCACCCTAACAGCAACTTATCAGTTGGTAGCCAAGTCACAGTCCCTGTCTCTTGACACATTCAAAGCACTACCTTATATCTACTCCCGTATGTCAAGTCCAGCTCTGTCTCCTCACACTCAAACCACTACCTTATATCTACTTCCGTATGTCAAGTCCAGCTCTGTCTCCTCACACTCAAAGCCAATCCCAGGTTTCTTGGTCATCATCTTCATGTATACTGCCTCATTTGGCTGGACTCTGAGAACCAGTTCATTTCTCTGAGTGGCCCCATTAAATATGTCTCCAGGGACATCCCTGAATTGCACGCGAAGCTCTGCTTTTCTTTCATTGAGGGCTGAAATTATAAAGCCATGCATGTCATTTAGTGACAAATTGAGGTTACAGTGAAAATGTTGTACTTTATTTTTACAAGTTAGTTTGAAAAAAAAAAAAGACAAGCATAACTTGCTATTTCAATAATTTCTTTTCTACTCGGCAGCACAAAGAAAGTAAGACTCAGTTTCTTACTTACAAATCAAACAGTATCCTGATTGTTAAAATAAAAAACTTGGGAATATTGATAAGCATTGTCAAGTTCTATTAGAAGAGTGATTCTTAAAAATTACATCATAAATATGAAATTCTAAAAAATTATAAATTTCAATTTTTTTTTGAGGGGGGAAGGTTGGGTTAGTTTCACAATTTATATGGAGTACTTCAAGCAGTTCTCACCTTTGCCACACCTTATAATGAAAGGAACTCCATCCCACCTCTCATTTCTCACATACAGCACTGCCACAGCATAGGTGGGGGTCCTGGATCCTGCAACACACACAGCATAGATTATTAGAACATAAACTGTTTTCTATGTGTTATCAGTGACCCAAGGTTGACCTTTTTACATCATATGACATAAATTTTCAATTTTCTCAAGTATCATCTTTTAATTACAGACACTGATTTTTAATACCTATCAATGGATTTAAATTGTCAGTTCTCTTGCCTATTTCATTTATTTTTTTATTTTTTTTTTGTAAATGGATTGTCGAATAATTAATTAAGAAACTTGAATGTAATCAAATTAACATCCTTCAACTACCATTGCATCCCGTCTTTTTCATCCAATCTACCCAACCAAGTCTTAACTGGTACAGCCAATGTGTTCCAGTCCAATATTAATTTGATCCCACTCACCTTTGGGTACGGTGGGGTCGTCCAGATACCCCAGCTTGGCGTCACCCTCACCATTGGGATCACCTACATACTGGCCTAGAACCACATCCTCCATCTTGATTTTAGAAATGCTCCTTAGCACCTTCACCTGTGGTAATATAAACATAGACAATTTTATTTTATTTCCCAAAGGATTTCTTCAAGTGGTCAAAGATTAAGATGGGCTGAAAACATACAGACTAATGCTCCCAGTAGTTCTCATTAGAAGGATATCTAAAAGGAATTGACAGAGTTATCAAATTTTATCATTAAGAGTAACAGCTATTTCACTTAATGCAAGTCATATTTCCTGGAATGATTCAATGTGCAACTGTCAATCAAAGTGGATCTTGTACCATAACCAAACCAAAGTATTTTAGAGTGTGACAGTAAATTCTCATTCAAATTTCAATTTAAAAAAAGTTACAGATTCAAAATATGTATGTAATTTAGGAGTACATTCAAAAGAAGCCATTTGTTCACCTTTTCATCTCTAATATCTTCAGCATTGGTGGTGGCTGGTTTCTCCATGGCAGTAAGACACAGAATCTGGAGAAGGTGGTTCTGCATCACATCTCTGTGCAGAAACAATAGGCAGTTATCACAAATAAGAAAGTTATTTTAGTTCTTAACAATATATAATTGTCATATACTAAATAAAACATATTTCATTTTATACTATCTACATAAATTCTTAAAAGACATCGCTTTTTCTTTCTTTTTTTTTTTTGGAAGATCCTTCATCTTTCAAAAAGCCTATCATCAATTACTTTGAAATCAACATTCTGATACAAATGACACAATTCTACATCTTATTAAATTGTGCCTGCAAAAGTCACAAAAATGCAATTATAATACAAAGTGTAATGTCTGTTTCCACGTTGTTCAAAGGATTTCCACATGACTTCTACCTAATATTTTATCATAAATTTGCCTTCAGGTACCTTATAATTCCAAACTCATCAAAATACCCTCCTCTTCCCTGTGTACCAAATGGTTCCTTGAACGAGATCACCACAGCCGAGACATTATCCCTGTTCCAAAGTGGGCCAAATATGCGATTGCCAAACCTGACAAGAGAAAAATATATATTCCAGTGAAGGAAAATATGTGAGAAAATATATTTTGATACTGCTTCACCCCTATTTAAAAACAGCACTGTACGTACTCTAGTAAACATTTTTTCTGGATAATAATATCTACAATAAATTTTTGTATTTCCTAGTATATATCTTTTGATGACATAATACAGTTTCACATACAAAGAAAAAATTCCAGTATATTCTTAACTTCACATGAGTTGTCTGCACTCTTATTTCAATGTATTAGAGGTGACAAAATTAAACCAGCCCATCACTTACCGGAGAACCATGAGATTCTGCACCATTTCCTTCCCAAGATAATGGTCTATTCTGTAGATCTGATCTTCCGTGAACAAAGAAGACACGTGATTAGACAGTTTGTCCGAGCTCTCCAGATCCTTGCCAAATGGTTTCTCTATGATCACACGGCTCCAAGCTCCACTGAAACAGATATTGAATTTACAGGAGTGAAAAGAACAGCAGACACTGATTTAAAATATGATGACAGATGATATTGCTGCTAGAAGTAAGTTCACTCATATTTCAAAGTTTGTTTTTTTATTTAGATTTTTTGAAGATGTTTTATACTAAATTTATTAGTAATTTTTTTGCAAAATTAAAGTTAATGCAATAATTTTTATTTTTAATAGCCCATAACCTGGCTTTTACTACTAATACATTTCCTTGCCCAAACAGAACATAAAAGAATACTTTGCAAGTAAAATGGTGCACTCTATTCCAGAATATTCAGTCCCCCAATTGAATGAGTGACGACTTATAGATGTCTTTATTGTAAGTGTTAATCTCATTGTGAAAATAAATTATCATACTTGCTGAGCATTGTTTGTATTTTGAATTTTCCATCGAAATCAAATCTTTCCATTTATGTCAGTCAAATGCAGAACAGCAATGGATTTGTTTACATACATTTGTATTACAAGCCTACTTTAAGGAGTGTACATGTAGCAGAGAACCTTAACATATCGGGTGGTGAATGGTGAGTGTCTGATAAAATTTTGAAGACATTCTTTTCTACTGGTCAGTCTTCCAGACATAATCATGGACTATACACTTCTCCTTCACCAGTCTGGTAACATTAGCAAATGCACTGGGTGGGAGAGAAACTTAGACTGAGTTCCCATGCCTTGATCGATCTAACAGAATCGATCCATCTCCAAGGGGTTTCTCACTAAATTGTTTTCAGCTTAAGCAGCATAGATGTCTGGCATGCCTACTGAAGCTGCTAAACAATAATTAATTACCCCCTAGCAGCTTCAGTAGGCATGGCAGACGTCTAAGCCACTTCAGTTGATAGCAATTTAGTGAGAATCCCCTTGGAAATAGATCGAACCCAAGTTAGTACGATAGGGGCTGGGGATGGTCCCTTACTCATGAGCCATACACTTCTCCTTCACTAGTCTGGTGACATCAGCAAACACACTGGGTGGGAGAGCCAGGTAGAACAATCTGTTGGCAGGGGCACTTATCTCAGTGGCCTTAATGGCTTCGTCAAGTTTGACAAAATCGTCTGCTTTGTCATATGAGCCTGCTACATATGAATTCATCTCCCAGAATGCTGCTGCCTTTTCTCTTTCACTGTCAGCAACCTAAGAGCAATTTTCATGGTAACTGAATTACATGTAACTGAATTACATATATTAATTTATTTAATAACATCACTGTCAGGATATTAACTTTGCACATGTATAAAGGTTATTCCAGGATATTAAATAAACACTGCCATTCCCTCCTAAAGTTAGACAACATTAGCTGATGGCTTATCATTTCCACATGTCATATTTGATGATAATTGTAGGATGTAATTGATCATCTTACAAAATTTGAGAGAGAGAGAGAGAGAGAGAGAGAGAGAGAGAGAGAGTGAGTGCTGAAATATACCTTCATATGTGGCTCTGCCTTTTCCCTTATAGCATCCACTGTGAGTTTGGACCTTGCATAGCCTATAAAATATGTATTGCTGGGGAGAAGGTCATCTCTGAATAAAGCCCTAAAAATATAAACAAATGCTACCAATGCTCAGATCAGAAAAATCAGATCAGAAAAAAATTACCAATTTGATATACGTCTCGCTCGGATCGCAAACGATCTCCCGCTGATGATCTTACGCGAACGGAGTCTGCTATAAATATGAAAATTTTCTTCTTGTCTCGTTTGGATCGCGAACGATCTGTTGACAATATTACGCGAAAGATTCTCTGCTGAAGCTATGAAAATTGCCATCTCGTCCCATTCGCATTGCGAACGATCTCCATGGATGAGCCAGGTAATTGTTAAATGGTCCTAAATTGAACATGGACATGAATAGAAGTGACGGGTACATTTCCCTTCGAGATAATATCTTGATTTTTCATTGTGTCTTCCTCATTTAGGACAGCCGCCGATAACAATAACGGCGTTACAAATGACAAAGCCGCGGCCTGTGACTTTAATTTGCCGGCTTGATAACGCACCTTGAGCCAGGTAATAGTTATGAAACTATTTAGACAAAAGGCCGATGTTCCCGCAATTAAGAACGGGGATTCACATCTTAACCATATATATTGTGAGTAACCCCTCGCAGGGGCGCACTATTGTTCCTATCTCCCATTGAGAGTGTTATTGGCAATGATATCCTGATCGTATCATTGTCTTGAATCAACTGACGCATTACCTTCATGTTTGAGCTGGACAACGCGGCCATATTTGGTGACGAACTTTTCAAAAATTATTGAGTACCTCATTTTCAAGGTCAACGAAGTTTTCAAGGGGAAAAAAATTACCTCGGCGGAAAATCGTCTGCCGACGAAATTTTCAAGAACGACGAAATTTTCAAGACTTTACCGTAGTGCAATGATTCCAAGCCCCTCCTTGGTATATATGCACAGAACATCTATGATCTTTACCTATAACCATCTCAGAATACAAAACTCCATTTGTACAGAAACTCACTCATAAAAATACATTTATACAACAAAATGTATAATTACATTAATTTTATTCATTATTGACCTGATTGCTCACATCAAAGTATAACAATGTCATGGCCACCGCGTAGTTATATATTTCTGAATCTCTGCAAATTTTATTTTTAAAAGCGTTCACTTACCAGAGTGTTGGGTAAATTTTCTTTTTTGCAAGATCTCCCTAGAAATGAAAAAATATATATTTTAAATGCCATAATCATTTGTCAAGTTCAATAGTACATATGCCAATTTTCATGATTTTAATAGACAAAAGGTTGTGAAGACTAATGTTCAATGACAGTCCATAGTAAAATTCAAATATTTTTTTATTGCCAGAAAGTTGACCCTAACTTTCAGACTGTATGGTTGTAGAAAATTTAGCTAATGTTTCACAAAAAGAAAGATGTTGTCAGTGCTGAAGTTGTCACAATTATCATGGTAATATACTACAATTCATACTGGCCGGATCAGAAATTTCTAGTCTTAAAGTACATGCGTAATTATATGTCAATCTTATAACTTAAGTTTCAAATATTCTTCTCTAATATGCGCACAGAGTTATATCTGAAGAGCTTAGAACCAATAAACAGATGTTGGGCATAGAATGCAACTAGTTCTGAAGAAAAGAGGGAATATACCCTCTACCTATGGTATAAAGTAAGCTTGATCAAACAGCCCATAGTCACTTAGAAGGGTCAACCCATCTTGAATGTAAACACGCCTTTATGGTTCACTCACTGTCAAAAGATGGTCTAGGAGAAAGAATGTGCTGATCATAGGCAGGGTTTTACTACTGGAGCTGAAGTGGGGAGGGGTCACAGGGGAAGAATGAAAGATCTTTGCCATGCTTCAAATGCCAGAATGCATGCACACACACACATACACAAACATACACACACACACACACATAGTCACACATTTAATAGGGGGTAATGACCCGATACATGTATATCTAGTGCAAATTTGCATAACCAGATAAACTTGTACACTTCCATTACGCCATGTGTTAATACTACCAGAAATAATGGCAATCTAATTGATTTACAACAACACGGTCGAGGACCGGGCCAAGATTTTACACTGATATCAACACTAAACTAATGTAAATGTATTTTTCTTACAATCTGCATCTCTAAGAACATTATCATCTAAAATATATTGACTAAGAAACATTCTTTTCATTTTTGGTGTACATATGTATGCCAATACATGGCTCAAATAACAACTGTTACAGGCAATTTAACAAATGTATCTCACTACAATGTTTAATGCATTCTTTTAAGCAATTATAATAATAAAATTAACTTTCTTTTTGGTAATTCTCCAATGAATCAATGTACTGATAGCAAATTCTATCCCCACATCTAATATCTATAAACTCAACTGAGAACAGAAGAACATGACAGAGTAATAAATAAATGCACTTACCGATGCCCCAAACACAACAAATGCAAAAGAATTGTCATTGCTGTAAGTTCTCTTCTTTAGAAACTCCTTGGAGTCAAATGGGTTTTTCATCTGGGTGCTCATGATGCCGGGTTGCCTGGGTCCAGAGCTAAATCCCTGCTTCTTCCTGTATTCCCTATACATTTTAATAAGGGAAAACGTCAGACTTTACTATATATGTTTTTCTAGATATTTTAATTAAGTTACATATTCATTAACATTTCACATGAAATCTTTCAGCAGCATTGAAAGGTCATTCTGCATGGTTTTGTCCTCCACACAGCTGTATATAGGGCCAGCTGTATACAGTGAAAGTCTTCAAATTGATTTTACATTACTATCCATCTCTTCTCCACTTGGTGCATGTATATCTGTATCAATTGTGTGCTCGTGTGCACAGTTTGTGGTCCACAGTTCATTCTGGTATCATAGAATGTTCTCACTTGTTTAAGTTGACTCTTATAAAAATCTTGTTTAGGCTCACATTTGGCCTTGCAGTTCACTGCCTCTATCTCTGTCCCCATTAAGTACTAGTAACTGTACATAAGACATTGAGTGCTATGAAGCCATAAGGTAAATAACAATTAAATACAGGCAATGATACAGTTCAGGTACAAATTTACACTCAGTCTCAGAAACAATACTGTCAGTTAACCTCAGAGTCTCAACACTGGGGTCTTTATACTTTTAACTACTATTATAGTATATTGTAGGCCCAGACAATTAACAACTTTTGCGCCTATTATGCACCATTGAATTTCCTTCTAATATTTCTGCTTTGTCATGGTATTCAATATTTATGCAACATTAAGTAAAAAAGAACATAATTACACTGCAGCTGGATAGGTTAACTGTTTGCTTCGTTTTTTTTTACATACAAAAGATCTTACTACAGGTCCTTACTGAAATATATTTGATAATATTTCTGTTGCATGCAAAGAGTTGTTTATATTTGAACAGCACTTATATTTGACAATGCATGATAAACATGCATAAATACAATATATACACACACAAATGCACACACACACACACACACAGATATTAATGTACTATACACATTTCCTTAAACCACACATGTAATGCTCATGCCTGATTCTGTCATAAAATTTGCAAGTCATCATTACATATATACTAGTGCAATAAGCTGATACACTGTCAGAAATGTTTATCACATTTATGAATTACTATAATTAGTATTGAAATCATTTTAAAAGTGAAAAGTTCATTGTTTCAAAATTACAAATAGGATGAAAACAAAAATATACAAAAAACTTCAACTTTTTTTGTAAACATAATTAAGACATGCTGATCTGCAAAACCAACCTGTCTTTTTATAAAACAATATTTAGAAAATTTAAAATTATTCAAAATTTAGTGAATTTAGAATGAATCAAAACATGTTTTGGCAGTAATGGTGTGAACCAATACTTTGGATAGTGATTGTAACATCTACAGCAACAATTACATGGACAGAACATAGAATATATCAGAATATATATACAGACACATAGAGTGACCTTATGTAATAATTAAATTCTCAAAAATTGAATGAACAACTGCATTTCTTAATGCTGATTGCTGTACAAGTAAAAAGTAGATGTTACAGTATCTATGGCTTAGGTTAATTCAAACAGTCTATTGAATTACATATATCAGAAAGGTGCCTGTCCTGATACAAGATTCCAAGTGTGCAATGCAATTATTAACATGGACATATCAATACAATAGAATGTCCTGTGTTAGCCATCAAATTTCCCCTTCTGTGCAAAGACACCAAATCCCCATTCTATCATAGTCACGATTCTTTTGAACTCACCACATTGCTATGTTAAACCTTAGCTATTATCCCTTCATAACTATATACAGACTTAGTGAAAGGAGGGACAAACACTTTATTGTCTGGGTTTACTGATGCATCTTATTAATTTTATATGTGACAATATAATAATTTCACAAAAATGTAAGACCTCACACACAAATAGAACTCAATTTTTCGCAGCACAGTGTATACTCATGGACGAAGAGATGTTTATTTTAATAAAATTTAAAAATTGTTAAGCATTATATTACAAGAAGAAATTGTAATATTGTCTATGAATAATTTGGTACATTGTACATGTACAGACACAGGAAATAGGTATTTATTGGGGGTAAATGAACTTCATATTTCTTCAGGCCATATTTAATTTGAGTCTTCTTACATAAAGAAAATTAATTTCAATTAAAATTACAAATTTTCACAAGCTAACATATATTGAATCAGTTTAGGAGGCACCAATACTCTGAATACAGGCTATTCATCTTGGTAATGTTAAACAGCAACTTTACAAAAATTGCTTGGATACTGGCAACTTCCTTTACATTAACCAGTACCAAGTACATGTATTTTAAAAATAAATTAAAACAACCATTTTTTAAAAATACTGTTTCACATCATAAGAAAATAAATGCAGTTTGACAATTGTCATAACCAATAAGTTTTAAAAAATGTAATTCATATTCTGACACTGTGCACAGAATAGATACGGTGCAGTAGTGTTACGTAACTTAAGTGTTACTCATCATCTTCAACAAAATGAAATGTCTTAATTGGCCTTTTAAAATCGTGCTGCAGCCTTAGCATGAAAACAATCAAATTATCTGCAAGTCATTAACAAGGCATGAATGTAAATATCCCGATTAACTATGAATCGTCCAAAATTGAGCAAAAGGGATTTTTCAAATTTAAAATAATGTTTTTAAAATCATTAAATACTACTCTTACTAGTAACCCGGTGCTTTAAATTACTGTACAGTACTGTAGCGCCGATCTTCATTTAGCACACTTACCTTGGGCACCTCAATTAAATAAGCGGCTTTATTCCAATGTTATGAAGTGACAACCTCGGTCCACCGAGCACTTGAGCTGTCAATCACGTTAACACTGTCAACTATTACAAATTCAATTCAAATAGTGACTTGTTCCTGGTTTGCGGTGACAGTGGTGTAAAATGGGTGACGAAAATTAGGTTTGTAGGTCAAGCTCGTCTAAAATTTAGACGTAATTCGTGCATCTCACATGGAAACATGCCGTTTTCATTATACAGTAATAAAAGATATTCAAATATAATTTCCTTTGAATATTTAATATATTTTTCTCTATTTATATTTGAAACCTATACATGAATCGGAATCCAACTACATATAAATCAATTATATCACTGCGCTACATTCCGGTCCATGTTTGTCTAGTCATGGCGGCCAAAACAAAGCGTAGAGAAAATGTTTCCTCTGTTTGAACTAGCTAAAATATTGAAGTATGGTGGCTCGGGCAACGGGAGCAGCAGACAGAATGCAACTGTGAGACGATGTGCATGGAAAGAAGTTGGAGAAATGAGCCAGTTGGCTCTGTACTTCTCAAACGGTAAGCTTTTATTGCAGGTGCCACCGATCAATGCAGGAACGTCATGTGACTTCATTTGTACGCCATACAAGTACTAAATAAATGTGCAAACGTAGTGTTCAGTGGAAAAATCGCTTTACTTTACGCATGGTATCATGGAAACTTCACAAGAAAAGATTATAAGATAAAAAGTGTAGAATTTTTTCATTTCTGTATTGGATATCTTCTAGATACACATGTTTAATAATTATTTGTTATCTTACATTATACATCATAATCATTATACTCCTTAAGCAGTACTAGTACCATGCCATTACTGTTTACTTTTTTTTTTAATAATCTAGACATAAAAATGAATGATACATAGATGAAAATAAATATTCACTTTTCAAAAAGATTACCTGCTCCTGCGGTACTGTATCAGAGGGCGCGCCCCAGTAGTACGCCAGATCCCATGGCTACCAGATCAACCCATTGTGGACCTTTGCTTTGATGCTACAGGCACATGGCTGCTAGTGATCACAGTGAAGACACATCTCTTCATCATCCCTGTGCTCACTTTGATGGTCAGTAAACTGATAAGTATACCTGTTTTTGTGACCAGCTGAGCTTTGACATATTATTCAAAAGGCCTCTATATGCTTCTATTTTTGAAGCCAAATCAAGAAAATTATGGCTATCAGAAGAATAGTAGATGATGTATAATAATTTTCAGACTGTTAGAATATGGTGAAGTTGATCAAAATATAAATAATTATTGTTATAAAAGTTCATTGTGCCTTTGTGCACATTAATCGTAAAACAATATAACATAATATTACATAAAAAAGAAGTGCTTGAAATTAAACCAGTAATGTTAATCATGCTTAATGATACAAACAATGTTAAAGAAAAAAAAAAAGAAAAACAGAAGACATTCTGTGATGAAATAAAGCTCATCTGTGTAGAAAATGAGACTGGTATTTTGCCTGGTATTTTGCCTCATATTCTTCACATCAATCTATTGTGTATTGTAGAACCCCAGTGCACATGTGAACCAGCTGTGGAAGACAGATGATGTGACAGAGATCAAACCAGTGCTGGGAAAGGGTAAAAGATATAAACTTGAATTTTGTAAGAAATTGTTATAGTGATGTCCTTACCAGGGCATGGGTACTAGTACCACACGTTTCTTTAATTTTGCATTGCAAAATTAAAAAAAAAAAAAAAGCAGAATTCTGATTTTATTTTAATTGAAAATAAAGTCATTGATTATTTTACAATGATGGTTTTATTTTCAATGCCATAACTATGGCATGTGTAAGAATTTTATCTATTGAAGCAGGGGTTGAATTAAGCGTAGCCAAGACCTACTCTTTAGCATCTTTGGTTTTGACTAGATGATAAACATTCTACAGCCACAAGTACACTACTTCAGGTAGCTGCAGTCCCACATGTAACCTGGACTGGTGGTATACTCTCAAGGATCATATAAATTAACAATATACACATTTGTCTACTTCAGGTGGCCGCAGTCCCACATGTGTAACCTGGTGGTATACTCTCAGTGATCAGCACATTGCGGTGGTAGGAACACAGGTACGTATTCAGCAAGAGCTTGATCTTAAATATTGAAATCTCATTACCTCCGCCAAGGAGGTTATGTTTTCACCCCTGTTTGTCTGTCTGTCATCAACGTAACTCAAAAAGTTATGGACCGATTTTGATGAAATTTTCAGGAACTATCAGAAGTGGGCCGAGGAACAGATGATTAGTTTTTGGTGGTGGTGATCCGGATCAATAATCAATCAATAATCAATAATAATAAAAAATTGCTGCCTTGGCGGAGGTCTGCGCTCTCAGAGTGCTTTTCTAGTTCACTTTGATTTCAGTTTGGTGAATCCTCTTAGTAATTTTTATCCTAAATGTATAGGGGCCTGTTTAACCATTACGTTTTTTCCTTCTGTTCAACCACACCAGATTAAATTAAATTTCAGTTTTAGTTGCAATGGTAAATTGATCCAACAGCTCTTATAGCTATAATGAAGTATTATTTTGTAACAATGGCTGGGTGAAACAGAACTTGTTTAGTCAGATCATTTCTAAATGTACGGTTCTGACAACATTTTAGGTGACCATACACCACATTTTAGCCATGTTAGAGAACACATTTCTCATAGTAATGGTAACTTTTATCACACTTCTTAATCCAGCAAGGAGATATTTTATGTGTTGACCTACTGCGTAATATAGTTTTGGGTGAGACATCTATCCCAGAAGGCATTGTGAAGATCGATCTTGTTCAGGATGATAGGCAGTCTGTTACCTATGCTCTGGTGAGATTTGGGGGGTATTTTGACAAGTCTTTTATTTTAAGAAATGATTTAATTTTATATAATATTTTCTCAATTAATGGTGTAAGTGAAAAGGATGTGCCTTTTCTAAAAAAAAAATTAATTTGACTTGTTTAATATAGTACTGTGAAAGTGGTACATTTGTAAAAATCTCAAAATACTCCAAAGAATTTTTTTTTATTTCCTTTCTCACAAGTATAACTGGCAGTTTACAAGATTTAGATCACACTATCATGAAATAAAACATTTTAAAGATAAACAGGAATGAAATCTCTACAATCAGGAGCATGATCTCCTTGTTGTATTAACTGGAGATCACAAATGAAAATGATATAATATATCAGGTCTGCTTTGAGTCCAGATCTCCACCAGGTCAGGGTCTCAGTGGAAACTGCTGTTAGAACAGAAGAACATGGAGATTCACTGGGTGGAAGATAGAGGTGTGCATGAACAGATGGATGGGAGACCTGTGTTACCTATCTATAACTTTGTGAACCAGACAGGTGAGGAAAGGAAGACAACATTGAGGGAGGATAATCTAAAATTGAGTTATTCTTACTTGAAGACTAAGACTGCAGAATGAATAAATGAGTGGATTTTTATGTATTACATTGTAACTGTGATGTGACCTTTCTAGAACTTTATAAGCCAAACAGTAACATATGAAAATAATGATATGATAAAAATTGTAACTACAAGAAAGTCTAGCTGTTTTTATAAACATGGTAACTGTTGTGTCCATACATAAAAAACTATGAAATTAATGTTGCATGAATCCATCTATTATAAGTAGCTTTTAATTATTAGTACATGTGTATTTCAGTCTTTTGTTGGTCAAGCTCTGTATTGTGCTTCATGAAAGTATGTGCAGCCAAGGAAAACCTGGTGCATTTTCTTAGTTTCAGAGGAACTGTCCCACGACTTCATTCCTCTGAAATTCTACAATTTTGGTAAAGGAATCACTTTGTCAGCACAGTATGCCAGGGGAAGACACTTTGTGGCAGCACATGATTGTAAATCACAGACATATCAGGTAAGAAAAATTTCCTAAAAAAAAAGAATTTTGTTTGACTTAATTTTCTGGAAAAATGATATTATGCTGGATTTACAAATTAAGTAATAATTCATGTTTATTGATAGCTATTTTGTGGGTGTATTTGCTCAAAGATTTATGGAAAGTGTTCTGTTATTTAACTTGGTAATATCTGTAAGACTTGGCTTTTTTTTTTTTTATTAAGGCCACACTTTTTTATTTTTATGGATGACATCCTGCGCGCGCACCGATTTTCGTCCGTTCTCAAAAAAAAAAAAAA